CACATCCATGTCATTTCCGGCAGCATCTCGTCTCCTCGCTGCGGACGCTTGCTGTTGAAACGCTCGACTGTATTTCAGCGATCGAGCAAATGACGATCTATGCTCAAGTTCTGGTTTTGAAGTGCGTTCCTCGTCTTCGTCCAGCGAAATTATTTCTGTATCATCATTTGGCTGATCACGGGAGACTGAATATTCATGTAACCCGATATTACTCGCCGTACTTCGCCTTCTACTCCCGGAGAGCGTGTTACTCAAGTCGATGCCCCCACGATTCGCTCCCGGAATAGTCGAACTACGTTCTGCAATGTTAACCTTGAAGCTACCTTCGGCTCTCTCTTCTTTGGCCAGTTCCTGAGATGAAGGACTATTCCTGTATCTGTGGTTTCCTTTGCCTTTCAAGATTTTAAACTCCTTTTTCAGAAGCTTCCCCGGCCCGCGGTGTTTCCTGAGCTTTGTGGAACCACTTGGTGGGAATCCGCCCTCTCCTGTCTGGATAAAATTTCCATCCGCTATTTGTGATGCCATATTTAAAGTAGAAATGTCTATATTGGGCATAGACATTGCTTTTGCTCCTCCATTCCAAGCCAGGCTTCGACCAGTGAACTTACCTCCTGCGGAAGAAAAAAACAGAAAAGGGTCAAAGAAGTTCTCTGATTTCAAACCTTTACGATAATTCATGTTCTGTTTTGAGCTCAACGAATGGACTAATGCCCTATTTAAAAGAATCCAGCCGCAGGTAAAAACATCTCAAAACAAATTGTGTTGTGCCTGGCTTTCATTAGCTCTGTGATTGTTCCAGGAAACTCGCGGCACTTTCTAAAGCAGATGCAAAACGATTACCAATCACGACTAGCTCAATCGCGGCCCACCGCACTTGTGGGGCAGTTTTCATTGTGTTATCATTTATCCCCAAGGGTATTTTCCATACTTCGAAAAGCGCTCTATACGTAAATAAGAAGATGTTATCTGTGCAAAATAAATTTGATTTTTCTGTTAACAATCTTCTCTGACAGATTGACCTTTCTCCATTTACATAAGGATAAGCTATTTTTGATCAGCGGTTATAAGCATTGGCTTTGTGTCGAAGAAAAAAAAATGAAGGATTTCTCTGCAAAGACGCACCTTTTTGTTCCCATGATCTGCTTCCTCTGAGTGATTCTCGCTCTTCAGCCACATCATATCCACTGGGTAACAGTATCTTGTACGTCAAAGGATACCACTCAGGTTTAACCATTTTAGCGTAACCTGCTAGTGGTAGAGTCACACAAGCGATAGGCTGTCCTTGTGTTGTTACACGATTGCGACCGCAGATCGTCAACAACACATTGCAGGTTTCCACATTCACCCTCCTCAGTTCGTCAGCATTGTAATGAAAGGTCTCTCCAAATGTGGTTGATATGCGATAAACAGGTGCTGAGTTGCCTTTTGATGAGAGAATGAAGAACAACATAAGCATCCATAGAGAAAACATTTGGCAATTCAACAGACTGACATCTTAATTTTTTGGTCCACCCATCCATTTTCCCTGGAAAAAGTGACTAACAAAAACAACAATCTTACTTTGGTCTTCACTCTTCTTTCTATGCAAGGATGAACGACTTCCCCTCCTAAGTGAGGAGACTAATCTTTGTCCCATTCCTTTTCCAGGACTTTTGTCACTCTCAGCTTCTTCACTATCCCATAAAGTAACACTATCTCTTGACTTTCTTCCTTCTACTGGACTTCCAAGTTTGAGTAAGCACGTTTTGCGTTTTGTTTCCTTCAACTTGTCGGGAACAAGATATCCTTTAACGTAGACGTGTGACATGTTGTGACCTACAAAAAGATTTGAAATGGTATTTCAATGATTCATAGAAGCTCTGCAGGTGAAATTTAATTCTAATACCCGAATAATAAGACAATTTAGAGGTTTCCTGCTACAATTAGACTACAAGCAGCTCCTCCTTTCCTGAGAAGTCCATTGCAGAAAAATTGGAGTGAAAAATAAATTGTTGCTAGCACCACACGCAATTGAGGCTTTTTTTTTTAACAACTCCCAGAGTTCTGTGTAGTGCTTACATCAATCTTTTTTTCATTTTCTTTTTCATTTGAGTGATGCCCCACCAAAAAGGAAGGAGTCTGCTCATAATCTATGATTAGGTTGGATCAACCATGTTAATGTAGATTTGCATTTCCCTTCACTGCAAACAACCAATCATTAGTTAAAGGTATTTCATTGCAAACAGAAAGGCATATTTTACCTGCAGGAAGTTTCACATCTTTAATTTCTCCAACATGAATATCAAGAAAGCGTCTATTGGGGCTAAAATCTAAGGATACTTTCATTTCTCCAGGCCCTATGAAAAAAATGATAACAAATGATAAATTGGTTAATATACATTTTTGTCTCATTTTGGCATGTGTCTAAATTTTTGTCTCTATTTTACAGTACAATTTCCTTATGTTGCAAAAGAAAGTGCTTCTCAATCACTCTGACATTGAAAGGGTTAATTAATTCTCTTTGTGTATAAATGTGAACAGTTACCTGGTAAATATGCCACATAGGATGATTCACAAAAGCTGTCACTGGAACCTGAAACACAAACCCAAAAAATCAATAAGTATCACTTCAACTTTTGATTCAATACTGATAATAATACACAAAACACTCCAAATTTAAAAATAACAATTACAGATTGTTTTGTCTATGTGAGTTTATTTATTCAAGTCAGGTCCACCACCCTTGCATTTGCATATGAATCAGCCGAGTATATAAACTTCCTGATTGCAGTCTAAACAAAGGTATAATTATATGCTGATAAATATTGATGACTCACAAAAATGTTTTTCAGATATACATGTAGTCATTGACCAATAGTTGTTGAGAGACGTGTTAAACATCACGATGAAAGTCTTCCAAGCCTATTACCTGAGCTACTTGACGTCATGCTTTCGCGCGAGCTCTGAGAGCTATCTGACCACGGTGATGACTGTCTATTCTTCTTCAGAACTGGGCTTTGACTCGCTTTGGGACCATATAACTTAAATTCAAAAAAATTTTATTGTTTCAAAATAAGATGGTAAGAAAAGACACCTGAAATCTGCCACAGGGAGGCCAAGAAAATAATGGAATGTTTGGTACTTGGAATATTGCCATTCTCTATCAAATTGCTCTTTCAATGAGCTAGGTTTTGGCAAAAACTATAATTTTCAAAACATTTCTTAGTTTTCTGAAAAGAGTTGATTTCTTAAATGTTTAGAGTAAACAGCAGCAGCAAAATTATTACAACATTTTGAGATTTTAGCTGAAATAACCTTCAAGTGATATTAGAGCGGTGTTTGAAGTCAGATTAGCAGTTTATTTCTTAACCTGAAGATGTTTTGGCGTGTAAACTTACCTTTCGCACAGAGTTTTCCTCGATTGGAGAAGGGTTTACTTTAATGACTTCTTCAGCACCTGGAATGAAGAAAATAATGCCAAAATAGATTTAGCTAAGCTGGTTAGAAAAGAATGATTGAAAAGTATATTGGTTGAGTGATTCGAGCAGGAAAGCTAAATACAATTAGACATGAGTTGAAATAAGCAGAGAAGAAAATCAGTACATGAAGATTGCAACAACACCAGAAACCTTAGATGTCTTAGGACGCAATGTTGCAGCTGTAGTTACGCAATTGTAAGCGAAAAAGAGGGCGCTTACTCTTCGATTGAAAGACCGTCGATCGAACAACGCAAGACTACAAGAAATATTGCTTTCACTGCACATCAAGTTGCAATATCCCTGCATTCTCTATTAAGTATCTCCGAAAATATCCTTTTCGGTGTGTATAAAAAAATTCTTGTACGTGTTTATCCTTAAACAAGGAAACTAAAACAAGTAATACTAATAATGCTGAGTAAAATTCATTTGGTGAAACATTAGAGAAAATTTTAATTCGATCGATTCTTTGTAAAGAATTCATAGGTGTTCCTGACAATGTCAAATTTATGTTTTTTTAGAGAGTATTTAAATTTGAACTTAATAAAATGTTTGACTCACAGTTGATGTAACTTCGTAAGAAGTAAGATATCATTCCTATATACTTCTTCGTGATTGCCGCTACGGTTCAAGCTTTTTATGAACGTAAGGTCAATTTACGGTGTACTTAATATGCTGTTGCGTTTTTCTCGACTGGCAAATAAACAAAATATCATATGGATGCTTTGTAACATTGTAACATTGTAACATTGTCGAAATCACAACAAGGTTCGACGCAAGTCCGCTTGTTTTAGAGAGTGTGTGATTTGTTTCCTGAACAAATGAAAACTTCTTAGAATCATTTGCCTAATTGTTTCACAATCTCGATGACCAAATAGAATTTACTTACGTTGCCTCGCAAGAAAGTCCAAGCAATCATCGCTGGCACAACTCTGGGGTATTTTTCCTTCGGCGTTCCTTAAATCCAGCCGAGCGCCAGCGCGCACCAAACTGCGAACAACTTCTAAATGACCATTTATTGCAGCGAGATGGAGAGGGGTACATCTTTGGCTATCCTGAATATTTGGGTTAGCGCCACTTTCAAGAAGTGCGATTGTTGTCTCTAGGTAGCCACAGGAACTGGCTTCGTGCAACGCAGTCCAGTCATTTATTCCCAGGGCGTCCAGATCTGATTCTTCCCTTATCGCTTCGCGTACTAACTTGAGGTTGTTCAGTCGAGCCCCAACGTGAAGTTTACTTTCCTCTTGATCAGCACGGATCGTCATATTCCCTGAGCAAAAATGCTTTGTTTAGGTTATCTAGACATCTACGTAAATCGTAGATCTAGATCACCTCGAAGTCTTTAGTTTCGAAGCGCAAGAACTTCAATATGTGTTATTCAAGCCTTCTTGTTGAATAGGACAATTTCTTTTGGGACATGGAAATTAGGCACGTGTCGCATTGGCAACGAGTAAATATTTACCCCTGTTTTAATAAACTATCTTGTGATTGGTCAAAAACTTGAGACGATAAGTTTAGCCAATCAAATTAGATCTCATATCTAAAGTCAACAAGAATGCAGACCCAACCATTGCTAGGCAACGAAGTTCAAAATGGCCGCTGATGGCGGGAACAGGTCTAGCGGTGCTTGAAGAAAAATCACTAAGTCTTGGAAATAGGAGCAAAGATAATCCCTTTGTAAACTTTTAAAATGGGCGACGCTGCTTCAACGAAGGAAGACTACCTTAAAGTCTGTGCCGAACTGGAGAAAGAGCCTGATACGGGAATCTTAGCTGTTTTGAATTCTGCAGTAGATGACAGTTTTCTGTGAGTTTTAAGTTCTTGCTTGTATTTTAGCCTATTCCAGGAACAAAATAATAGGATTAAGTCTTTTTGATTATGGAACTTATGAATGAGAAATTGAGCAAAGCTTGCTCCACGCACACGAAATGAAAATTTGTAGCTTTCAGTTCGCTTGATGAGGTAAAAAGTTTAAGCCTTTCTGAGCATCAAGCTGCGGATTGACCTTAAAGTACACGTTTCCACGGGTAACTTGATAAATTTGTTAGAATCAAGGGACCAGCAGTAACCAACCCACAGTTAACATCTTTCTGAATGTAATCTCTGTTTGTTTGGTTGCCAAGCAACCAAAACATTAATTACAATGTTAAAAGACATGTTTTTGCAACCCACGGGTTTGGTTTGATTTGGATTCCTCATGAGACATGGAAAACATTTAATTCCTGCTTTGTTTTGTTAAAGTAGATTTTTAAATTAATTTATTGTATGTTGTTCAAGACATCAACAGGAAAGCTGTGAAATTAAATCAGAAGTGGTCATTTGAAAATGTTAGTTTTTGATAATAAAAGTGGAAGTGTGTAGGTGTGTTTGATAAATCAAGGCCTCTGTAAAAAAAGTGATAAACTTTATTCTCATAATTTTAGAGTCTTTCTTCTCTGTCTCTGGTAAAGAACCTAAAACAGTGAGATAGTTATTTACTTGTGTGAAATACTTAATGCTGTCAGTAAGTTATTCATAGACTAAGTTACAGAAAACTGTAATTTATTAATTTTATGTTACAGGAGAACATCCTCAATAACTTGAACTCCCACTCACTGAACTCTGATATAACAATTTTCTTTACACAATAATCTTACTGTGTATTTTTACAATACATGGGACCCCACTAACTCAATCTCTGGGGGATACAAAAAAAGATTCAAGTTAGTGAGGGTTTAGTTTTTGTGCTTGGTGCTGAATTTCAATTATCCTGATAACAATTAATAAGGAATCGTGGTTCTACCATTCTTACAAGATCAATAGTCAATTTCAAATATTTATTTTGTTTTACAAAAGCTTTTTTTAACAAGAAAGTTTAGTCTGCAGGAAAGTTTAGCCTAATGTATTAGGTTTTTTTCATGAATGTTATCCTGTCAGTATCATTTGCAATTGAAGATTGAGACTTGTCAATCAGCTATGTTCTCACACTTTTAGAACAAACTAATCAACATCACATTGTCCTTATAACATCATCAAGTTGAATTATTTATTCAAGAAGTGTGTCTCCCTTTTTTAATTGATAATGAATTCTCCCATATGTTTTGCTTTTTGACAACAGGGATCCGATCATTGAGTTTGACTTGTTCCTACATGGTAACAAACGGAATGAGCGCAATGAAATGTACAGAAGACGACTTACTGACGAGGTACTATTGGAATATTGTTATCACTCCTTGCTTTAGCTGAATACCAATTTCTTATTATTTTCTCAAAACTTCTGACCGTATTAGAAATAAAATCTTGCTCCCTGTTCATAATTTAACGTACATGTCTGTTTGCATGTTTATGTTTATCACAAACTGTGTACTGCAATACCCAAGAGTCATGTCATACTCAAAATTGTGGAAAAAAGTTAAGCTTTTGGCTGAAATTTCAAGTGAGGCTGCTCAAGGATTTAAAGATTGATGGTGCCTATCATCAAAAGTGCCTGCTTGGCTTTCCAAGTGATTGCCAGTTAAAAATTAATTGGGGAATCCCCGCTTTTTAATACTGTGAATTCAGCAAAAAGCCAGCCATTGATATGATGGCTAATTTTATAATAATGTTCTTTCTTTCTTGTTCAGGATGCATCCATATTGTATAAAACATTAAGAAGCAACACTTTTGTAATTGGACTTGATTTAGGATATAACTGCATTGGAGATGATGGTGCCAATTTGATAAGTCAACTTCTCCAGGTATAGTTTGAAAATGACTAAGTTATTTTTTAGAATAATAATAATAATAATAATAATAATAATAATAATGATGATAATGATAATAATTATAATAATAATAATAATAATAATAATAATAATAATAATACAAGAAGAAACAACATTTCATATTCCATAAGTTTAGGGGTTCTTGAATGTGATGAATAAGACTGATATGAATCAAGGGGTAACATAGAGTATCCTTAGTAGTATTTTAAATGGGGTAAGTTTCTAAAGAAACTGTCATGCTGCAATGGTGGGGTGGGTAATACACTTGATAATTTGATTTTATCAACTGAGTTGGTGTGTAAATTGGCCACTTTGAAGAGTTTCTATGGGTTAAGCATTACTCCTTCATCAGAAGGAACAAACAAGGGTTAATGCTTGAAAAGTCAACACCAGATTAACTCTGTGCGGTGGTTAATTTAATTATCAACTTATGATAAGTTTATAAAACAAACAATCTTCACTTGTAAGATTGATCTGAGAATTACTTTTTCTGTTTGTTAAAAAAATACTACTGCAATGAACCCTTTTGAGACACAGGTAACTGACATCAATGTCAGTTAAATAGGTGATTTTCTATTTTACAGGAGACAGTTTGTCTTCAGTGGCTAGTGTTGAGTTACAATGACATAGGACCTGCTGGAGGTGAGGCAATTGCAAAAGGATTGCAGGTAATTTTAAAATCTTTATGAGCAAATTCAGCTAAAAAATAGAATCAAACTGAAATGAGATAACTGAAAACTAATAAGTATTAGTGTAGCAGCAGACAGAAAATGATGCAAGGCTCTATTGATATCTATCCTGCTCCCAGTCAATCAATATGGCCCCTATCACAAAATGTCTCTTTTAGGTACCACAAATGTGGACTGTTGACCGCTGACTTAAGGGTATGGTTGTATCAATGCTTTGTTTACAATTTCAGGTCAATGAAACCCTCGGTAAACTGAGATTAAATGGCAACAAAATAAAAAACAAAGGTGGAATGGCCATTGCAGGAGCTCTGCAAGTAAACACAATGCTAGAGGAACTTGATCTTGGTGAAACTGACCAGGTAATGGACATCAAAATTGATTTGGTAGGGTGAGTTTTACTCTTGGTGTTGCACAGCAACACTCAGCCTGTTCTAGGAAAATAATTAATTAAAATGGTTATTCATTGCTCCTTAAATTGATTTGCAACCCAAAGTTTGATTTTTTTTAAATTACCAAAGGAATCATTCTCTTGCAGGAGATAGAAAGCATAATAGCCATGACCACTGTACTGAACTTGAACAACACGTTAAAATCTGTGAATTTGAACAGACCTGTACTCTTTACCCGTCAGGTGAGATAGTAATTACATATTATAAATCTGTATTTAATACGCTTTAGCTCATGTACAATACAGATGGCAAAATCTAGCTTGTTCCACCATTTTTGCACATTTGGTAGAGCACTGCATCAGTTGTGGGTCATAGGTTCAAATCCCATACAGAAATACATTTTTCAGGCCTCATTTAATCACTACTGCTCAAGTAGTGTTCATTACTGAAGATTGCTTTCATATTTACATTCAGTGGTCTGTTGAGAAATGCCATAAAACACATGTTCACTGTTTTTTTAATCTATAAATAATTTTCTCAGAATGTTTACTTTAATTTGGTAATTTTCAGGAGGAAACTACAGTTCATGTGGCCAAAATGCTGAAAGTGAATGTTAGACTACGAGAAATCCACCTAACACATTATGACATGAGAGACTTTGGTGCTGAGAGATTGAAGGAAAACCTCACGGATAACTTAACACTGACACACCTGGATTTAAGAAGGTAATCATGAGTAACTAAAGTAAAAAAAGTAAAGCCTTTATACAGGCCCAAATGACCCATGAGGCCAGCGCTTAACTCTGGTTTCCTTAGCATGAAGCGGCTAGGAGTATTGCTACTCCCCCCTGGATGGGATGCTAATCCACTGCAGGGTTACCCCAGCATATTTGCTGGTATCCATTTGTACACCTGGGTGAAGAGAAGCACTGTGAGAGTAAAGTGTCTTGCCTAAAAACACAACACAATGACCCCAGCCAGGGCTTGAACCTGGACCACTTGATCTGGAGTCAAGCGCACTAACCATGAGGCTACCGCACCTCCACATGAGTAACTAAGATGGAGAATTAATACTACTACATATTCATCCTGACAGGAAGGCTGTAATCATATGATTGTGCAGCAACTTACAGGCATTTTTTTTCTGTAAAATGAATTTACTGATAGAATTTATGGTATTAGCATCAAACACAATTGCGGTACTTTCAATGTAACTCTTGTTATATTGGTGGCTCAGAGGACATGCCCAGCTGTGTAATAAAATCTTTTGAATGATGTGACCTTTCATTTCTATCCCCTCAACACAGCAACAACATCACAAGAGATGGTGCCAAACATCTGGCTATCCTTCTGAAGAGCAACACTCCTCTTGAAGTACTGAACTTGGCATACAACAGAATTGAAGATGATGGGGCCATTGCTCTGGCTGATGCATTAGCTGCTTACAACACCAACCTTACCACGTAATGACATTTAGCTTGTGCAGTGTACTAATTACTGTGATTAGAATTATTATCAGCCGTTCAGTCACTTTTCATTCTACCTGAATCACTGGGGCAATCATTAAATCTTCCAAAGGAGCAAATCATGTTAATTCATCTGTCAATCCATCATTTAATCACCCAATCCCGCACTCAATTCATCAATCAATCAATAAAAAAGACCAATCAGTCAATCAATCAAACAATCAATTAATCAGCAATTAGCATAACAGTGAACACACATGGAGGTAGACTCAGCTGGGAAGATTTTCAGTTTGTGTCCTGTTATGCAGCATAAAGACTCTTTCAGTGCTCTCAAGTGCAATACATTGCATACAGCCCTTGAATTTACAAACTTCTGCACTATATAAAGCTTTTAAACTCCCAAGAGAGAAATCATGAAGTAAAAACACACCAGAACTTGAAATTTGTGAGTATAATCAGAAACTTCAACATCAAGTGAGCAGCAAAACAAAGAAGATAAATTTTTTTTTCTTGGTAAGGAAAGTTTGGAAGCAAAATACACTTAACATTGTTATATTTCACAGGTTGGTGATTTGTAGCAATAACATAGCTGGTGATGGATTATGTGCAGTGGCCAAAGCAATGAGAAGCAATGGTGCACTTCATGCTGTTTACATATGGGGAAATAAACTAGAAGAACCAGCATGCAGGGTAAGTGCAATGTACATGTAACACAGCAATTCAAATCCCCATATTGGAGTGTACGTACATGTAAACATAACAGACAGCCAATTAGGTAACATTGTAGAAAAGCCAGATAATGCTGTCTAACAAATAAATCCCTATCCTGTGGATGTCCAACCTTCAAACAACCAGGGCCAGATGGATATATTTGACAAAGATTTTGAAAATTGAGTTTTTTACACACCAAATTTCAGTGAGACTAGCAGGTGCAATGTGAGAAATCTCAGCAAACTAAAAAAAAAAATGAAGAACATGTTGAATAATATTTGGGGCCTGGTTGTCCAAAGCTGGGTTTAGATAACCCAGGGTTAGTGTGAAATTTAATTTCAGATCTGTAAGGTTTGGAAGAAAATTTAGGTAAATCCCATTTTTCTACAATTTGATGATTGAATGCTCCCTAAAAGGATTGGGAAAATTACCCCAAAGGTCTTTTGAACAGAGAAATAGAGAAACTTGGATTAAAATTTTAACCTTGGGTTACTGCTAATCAGCCTTCCAACACCAAGGCCCAGGTCACAAGTACCAACAAAGTAGTAATCTCCCACTCAGTGTAATGTTGGTTTGCTTTTTTGTAGGCTTTTCAGGATTTGTTGGACGGCCCTGTTCCTCGTCTTGACCCAAGCAATACAGATGTCGAGCCTTACATAGTAGATGGTGTGGTATATTTAGCAAGACTGTCAAGCCCATTTTAGTAAAACTTAAGGATGAACAGACTGAAAAGTTATCATAACTACATAGACTGGTATGTATCAAGTGGACTTTACCTCATCAACATCTGTTGCAAATTGTGTTATTTTCAAGTTCTTAGGAACTGTTGTTTACTTGTTAAGGTTTTTATGAATTTTCTTAAAGCGACACTTCTCATCTAACACTGTTCCAATGCTATAGTGATAAAAATTAATGAAGAGATGAAAGACACATGGTTTATGCTGATACTAAATATTTATTGAATAAATGATTATTTTTTTTATGCAACTTGAGTTTTGTATAAAGATCTTACTCTGGACAAAATGCACATTTCATACATCAAAATCAACTTTTATTGAGTTCTCATACTGGGAATCTCATCTTGTACATTATAATAACAACAGTAATATCCATGTTGTAAATAAAGGGACTACTCCCACATGGAATTCAAACATGGTATAGTTTGAGGATTGTTGACACAGAATGACCTGATAGATGTTTTATGAAAAGAGATGTTTTTTCAAAAAATGTTTTAGGACAATCTTTTGACAAAAGAGTCATTCAGCACCTGTCCTAAACTCTAAATTTAGAGTTTAATGTTTCAAGCTCATGGCAGCAATTCCTGTATGCTAACATTGATCAAGTAAACCCTGTCCCCTTCCACCCCCCTCCAAGCACCAAACTGAATGGTTATGGCTCACATCAGTTCATGTGAACATAACTAGAACCAAACTAAAACACCCTCCAACCAGCTCAGTACAAGTTTCCATTTTTGGGTGTTATGGCTTACTAAAGCTGTAGATCCACATTGTAGTTTCTTTACTAATATTCAGGATGAGACCCAAACTTGCTGTCCAAAAATTTCAGACCAGCTTGTTTTCAGTTGAATCATACCAAAATTTCCCTCCAGATGCTGATAAAGACCTTCTCCAGAACATGATCAAATGTCATCTGCCATGATTTTCACTTTGATAAAGTTACTTGTAGGCTCCACAATCACTCTGTTAGAAGCCCCTATCTGCGACTCACTTCCAAAGATGGAGTTGTCACTTCCACAATGAATCCCTATTGCGCAGTCGTGACACCAGCTGAGTCATTTACACCTTCCCCAAATTCAACAGTTGAATCTGAACGCAAAGCCAGATCAGACGGAGCCTTGATGCAAGTGGAGGAAAATGCAATAGATTTTTCATGGAAAGAAGTATTCCCTGATAAATCTGACATTGAGGAAAGGCTTCCATCTGAACTAATAACACTTGTGTCATTAAGCATGGCATCATTGAGACTTAACTCATTTGCTGCAACTACAGTCTTGGGTGTGGTGGCAGATTCGGTTCCACTACTAGATGTACCACTTTGGTTGGCAGGACTATCCTCTAAAGTCACAACGTCATGTGTTTCTATACTAGCCCCTTTTTCAACACTGTCAAAATGTTTGGATAACTCACCTGAAGCAAAAAAAAGTAGTGCAAATAAATCTCTCAATCTTTCAATCAGAGTTAAGGGATACTCCTTATGGAAGGTAAAGGTGCTGCCTGCAAACATTATTGTGCATATCCCTGGAGCATACACAGTTCGCCTTGCACTGGAGGTGGGAGAATTGTAACTTGAAGTGACTACCATGCATTTCCTTAAGATTTTCTGTTACCAATTATTTATTCCTGGGAGGAGAGAAGCACCCATAAGAGAGAAGTGTCTAGCTCATGAACAAACCATAATGACATCAAGCCCTTGTTAAAACACAGACAACATACTAGCCATGAATCTCTACCACAGAGGGCCTTATGGAACAATTATTTTCATCACCCCTGCTACAGCAAATTGAGATTTAAGAGAATTCAACTGAAAGTAGCATACTTGAAATTTTTATCAAACACTCAATTTTCCAGGTCAAGTGCAAAATTGAATACACAAAGATTTGAGTAAAAAAATCAGACCTACCATTCATAGCGCTTTGCTCAAAAGAAGAAACTTTGGACAACTCTTTGCTGTCTGATGACTCAGTGGAAACAGGCATTTCAGATGAGTCAGCTAAGGAAGAAGTTGTCCTTGTTCGTTCTGTTGAAGTAACAGCCCGTTGCCATGCTGGAATGCTTGGAGCACCTGGGGTGGAGCCCATCACTGGAGATGGGAACTGTTTCCTACACAAAACAAGATTTAATATTCAGTTGAAGGCATTTCTCTGGGAGTAATCCCTTGATGCTTTTACATGTACATGTTTAGTCTAACTGAGTACAATGAGGACACTATTAACCTCTAACAGTGACCAGCATCTAATTTCTCCTTTTAGTAATACTACTGAATGATTCTTTGACATCATGAGAATAAAGGAAATGATCACCAACCTAAGAAACTTTGATTGTTACGCAAATTCTCCTTGTCTGCGTCAAAGGAAATGTATAGCGAAGAGTTTGGAGAAAATGGATACTGATATCAGGGTGTAAGGAGTTAAAAGGGTAACAAATTCACAAATAGAAAATTCAGTATTTCATGATTACACTACCAGTAACTTGTTTGTGTTCTGCTCACCTGTTCAGGAGAAGACCTTTCAGAGAAAGAATCTCCCCTTTCAAATCCCCAACAGTATAACTTTCAGATGGTAACAGGGCCACCTTAGACTGTAAAAAAAAAAAAAACAGGAGTCAAACAGTTTGAGTGCTTTGTGCTCTGGATATATGGAAAGGATCATCACAAGTTTAAAGTAACAGAAAGAGCCAAGAATGAAGATTACATTTATAAACATTTTTTAATTTTTCCAAACCAAAAGTTGTTTTTTTTCTCTCTCAGAGATACAGCTGTAAAGTACATTTAAAATACTGAAACATTAATTTTGTTGTTGTTGCCTGCTTGCCTTTTTTCTTTCCTTTTTTTTTTTTTCTTGTATGCTTACCCTTGTAGAAGTCATTAATTTTTGTCCAAATTTTATCAGTTAATTGCATAACAGCTATTACTGTGTTACTATTTTGGCAAAAAGCCGCTCTACTTATATGACCACTCTGCCATGTATAAGGCTAAAACCAGGGGCTTAATTATTGTTTACCATTCCCCATTCAGAAAACATGAAACACTTGTGATCAGACACATCCTACTACAAGAGACACAGGGATAGAGTGCTGAGGAAAGAGGGCCACAACCTTTAGATGCACCAAGGTTTCTCATAACCCCTACCCTGGCTAATGCTCTATGAGATGATCTGCTTTAATCAATTAAAGTTAAAAAATAAATATTACCAATATTAAGTGAACTTTTTCTTGAATTACCTGAGTGGAAGCTAGGTCAAGAGCTAAACTTTGAAGTTTGTTTTGCTGTTGCTCAAGAAGACCCTACAAACAATTAAAAAAAAATAATAAACTGTGTGTGGAGAAGATGAGGTTGGTAATAAGGGAAACAAATAGACTCCTATTGATGCACATTTGATAGTCAGCCATGAAAAATTCAACAGTCATCTATAACTTGCCAACAAGTTTTACTGAGTTGAATGCTATTTTGAACTTGTAAGAGAACATGTTACCCAATTTTAAATATAAGTATCACTCACCTCCACAGATTCCAAGCTTTTTTGTACTTAAATAAAAAGAAAAGAAGAAAAATTAGAAACAAATGTTAGCTATACCTGTTTTCTGTTGTGATCTAAATTGAATTTTTTATATACGATAGATTATTACATTTGTTTTGGACAATTTCTTTTTTCTAGTGACTTGGTCTATGATTTAATGAAATCTACTGATTAAATTGTGTATTAAACCAATAGAAATGGAGTAAACCAAACTAGTTTCAGTTAGAAACTAGTGAACTACATATCCCTTCATGAACAATGTATAATTCATTTACAACAAAAGAACAAAACCAGTTTAATACATTCTTTAAGTCATTCTTGATGAACAAAGTTGAGTGAATGATGGGTTAGGGTTAGGATCAAATTTCATTGGATCTTGATGAAATGTCCAAGTTCATACATATGTACCTCTCCCTTCCATGTTGCCTTTTAGTTCTGTCACAGTAGTTTCTATTTTCTCCAGTTTCTCTTCCTCTTTACTTTTTGTGTGGTAAAAGTATGGCAGAACAAATGTCTACAAAAAAGGACATAATTTTGCCACAACGATTAATTCTATTTTTTAACAGAAAAAGCTGGTGACCAGCAGCACTAACTGAAACCAAAGGACATCAGAACCCATGAACCCAAAAGGCATTATGCGCTGATAAATTTAAAGCTTGAACCTTGCCTTCCCCCCTTGGGCAATGCATGGGGAAGGGAGAAATTTTATTTTTCACCACTAGGCGGTATGCATGGAGTAAATGCATGTTCCCTGAATGTAACCTGTGGACAATGTCTCTATGGTTTAGGTAGTACTGCAATTAGTAACCACAAATTATTTTTCACATCTAAAAGTTTATATTGCAAAATTATTTCTAAAACTAAAAAAATGTAGGGCAAGGGAAAAAAATCCCTGAACTGAGGACATTGTTAATATCCTACTTCTAAGGAGAGGTGACTTATAATCATACTTAATTGAAAGACCTTGTCAATATTCCATTTCCAAGGAGAGGTGACTTAAAATTTTACATTGGTAAGTAGTTAAATAAGATTTGAGGATTTACCTTGAAAAGATGAGCTAGTGTATATCCAATTCCTCCTCCTAAGATGGCAGCTCCAACATAACTTCTCCATGGCATTGGAGGTAGAGGCAGCCCTGAGGCGTGACTGGTAAAATACATAGTTTAAACATCATTTTTGAAAGATACTTAAAAACAGCAATACATGATACACATTAGTACATTCACCCTTAAACCCTTTCACTCCCAAGATCTGATTAATAATCCTCATTACTATCTAACATACAATTCTTATGATGTTAGTTTCGAGAAGTTGTTGTTCAATCAACAACTAGTCCCATCATTGATATTTTTCTTTCTTCTTGTGACTTGTCTGCTAGATATTGCAAATATACAGTAACACTTCCTGGAGGTGTCTTGGTCACCCATGGGAGTTAAAGGCTTAACTCCCAGAAGTTATTGAAATGTAACTTCTCCCTTTAATATCCTTACTTTTTCCAGCAAACAGGTAATGAGATTAATCTAATGTATCAGGGTGATGTCTTTATTTTGATCTAAAATCAAATTATCGTGAACAATTTACAAGGACGTATGTTAACCAGCTTAAGGGAAGAATAAACAATCAGATCTTGGAAAGGTTAAAGATTGATCACAGCATAAAAATACACCTCACCTATAGCAACAATCTCAAAAGAGAAAGGATAGCATGGAAATATACAAATTAAAATTACCAAACAAGTAACCATTAAAAAGTTGTTAACTCACCCTGAAGGTGGAACCTTGGTACCTCTTGGAGATGGAGGTGGGGGATTTGATGGCCCTGATATCTAAAGTACAAAGGATAACGTACACCAAAAAATTTAAAGAGTTTTGCTTTGACTGATGCTAGACAAAATGATACCAAAATAAATAAATTTGCATTCAGCATTATTACCTCATCAGTTGCTGTTCCTGATATTCTAAGCGCTTCTTCTATTTCATCTTTGGACAATCCTATGAAAAAAAATTAGGAGTGTGTATTTTTTTGTCACTAACGTTTAGTGACCAGACCTCTCTTCTGTACTTCATCTGAATACAGTCAATGTTAGGCAGAAAACTTAGCATACAACAGCAGCACCACGGTCATACATTATGATTTCGTAACGTTATCAATACCTTTCTTCTCAAGAAACGCTTTACGTGCTGACACTGGAGTTTCCCTTACTTTCGGATTTTGAAGAAACTTCACTGCAGTGTTGATCTATCGAGAAAAGATACGTAAAATTTGATGGGATGACGGTGCAAAACGTACTGATTTTTACTCTTCAAACCAACGCAATAATATAATACTGTACCCTTTTCTGTCGCAATTCTTTATCTTTATCCACAGCAGCGTCATCAAGCTTTACAGGAAGACAATCAGTTTTCAGTATTCTTCAAAAATATCACCAAAATCACATATAATCTGGACACTACATAACAAACCTCAGACGCCATCTTGACACTCTTTCTCTTATCCAGTGCTTGATTTCTAAACTAAGTAGTCATTGGATAAAACTGAAAAACCTTTATCCAATGAAAGAATCTGTACTGTGCTGTCTCATCCCTTCGCCCACAGTCTTACCTAGACAGCAGTACGCGCAGGAGTAATTTTATTATCATATAAATGAAAGTATAGTGTACATTGGTCAAGTTTAATTTTCCCACGTGGTTCGAATCCCAACATGGCGGACACAGAGAAGCGGTAAGTGCAAGCTCTGCTTCATTTAGAGAAAGATTTACCTTTAAGATCTAAAGGATGCTCTTTTTTTGGATTAACAGGAGGTTGTGTGACATGGATGCGGAGCAATTTATGATGCACGGCTTTGATTCAGACCTCAGTGACGACGAAGAAAGCTTGCCGGAGGAAAACACATTAAGTCCTTTACCTGGAAAAGTTCCTCAAAATGGTGCTCGTTTACCCACAAAGTAATTTCTGGATGTTTCATTTTTAACTAGAGATCTAGAAAACAACCCTGAGCCTCACGGTATACGTGAATGAGACGTTGCATGCATTATGAAGATTAAAGTGACTTAATTATGACGAGCTTAATTTGATAGCAGTACTCAAATCTCAACAGAAAATCTAAAAGTGCAGACCACAAGAAACAGTTGGAAAAATTACAAGAAAAGGATCCTGAGTTCTACAAGTTCTTGAAAGAAAATGATAAGGAGTTGTTGGAATTTAACGACTCAGATACTGGCTCAGAAATGGAAGGAAGTAATGATGATGATGGTGATATGGATGAGGATTATGATGAGGAAAATGAAGAAGACAGCGATGATGATGATGATAAAGGAAGGAGTGAAGTAGGAAAACTTTGTGGTGTTATTGTCACTCTATTTGTAAATGATTTTCCTTCATCAAAGGCTTAGCGCTGTACCATAGACTTCAATAAGGGTGTGCAAGTTGAATCCATGTACTTCATAACACCACATTTAATTTCTCTTGCACAATGTAGTGTAATTTATTGAAGTTTCCTATGATGAAACAGCCTTTGAATGTTTGAATGGACATGGCCCAAAGTGCCTCGAATCCAAAATGATCAAATATTCTAGCACCCACATTAAATAAATGTAATAGTGATATACCATGTGATATGTACTGCCCAGAGAGTTCTTTTAAACATAATGTAATTTTTTGCCACAGACAGAATGAAATAACCAAGTATCCTTGACCATAAACTCTGTCATGGAGAATAACGAGAATTATAATCTAAAGAACAAAATCATTTTAATTTCTACTCTTTGAGATTCTTCTCCTTAAATATATATCAGTGTTAATTTTGAGATATATCGTCCAGCCTGACCTAACTCAGTTATTTAATTTTGACCCTTGCAGAGTGAAGCAAAGAGAGATGGATCTGATGACAGTGAAGAGGATGATGGCCTGGATGATAGAAATGAAGAAAATAAAGATGCGAATGAAGGCCAAAAAGTTTCTTTGGATATGATCAAAGGATGGAGAGCAGGACTAGAGGTACTTTTATTTAAAATTTGGAGCTGTGCTTTATTACAATTGTTCATGGAATGCACTGTTCTGTCAGCACTACTCAACTAAAACTTAGTTGAAAGCTTTTTCAAAACAGGAAAATTTGTTTTTGACTTTGCTCATTTCTTTGCTTCCCATTTTACCCAAAATTCCTTTGAAAAAATGAAATGCCCGGTAGGAAATTAATAAAATGGTGTATGTGATAGAAGGTGTCAATGGAGTTAACCCTGTAACTCCCAGATCAAATTTGTAATTCTCCTCACTGTCAACTATACAATTTTTTTAATGTGAGTTCAGAGAATTTAGTATTGGATCAACTTATTATCCCCAAATTGATCTCACTCTTAATTCTCATCACTTATCTGGTTGATGTTGTATAGATATTGTAAGGAGAAATTCTGTCTTGGTCATTTGTGGAAGTTAAATGGTTAAGCATTAGCTGTAAAACAACAAAAACTTTAGCTGTTAGGCATAAATGGACACATTTAAACTGTAAGTAAACCGTAAGAAAATTTCTTTTAATTATAAAGGAAAGAAATTAACCATTAGCCTGGAGAAGTCCAAAATTTTAACCTTTGATCGTAAGAGCCATCACCTCATTGAGATCCTCAAGATAAAGGATACCATTGATCCAAAGGTGACTAATCTCTAACTAGGCCCTCAAAATACTTATGTTATTTTTTTGTAAATGAATTGATGTACCTACGAAAAATGAACTGCTGCTAAATTTACTGTTATTTATGTTTTAATTAAGCTGTGTTGCTTGCTTCCAGAAAAATTCACTTCATGCTCTGAAAAAATCTCTGCAAGCATTCCGTTCTGCTGTACATGGGGCCCTTGGTACTGTTGATGACAGCAAAACACAGACACCCTTGAAATTCAAAGTAGAGGGAGATACAGGTAAAAAAGTTTATGACAATTGCGTAATTAATTTTTAGAGGCTAAGGGCTGTGTTTTACCAACCTAGTGACTCATTAGTGTTACATCTTAATTGGCTTGGTTTCTGTTATGCACATATAGCACTAAAGATACTATTCTTGATGGGATTATAGTCCAAAACAGGGGCCTTTTTCCTTAATACTACAGCTCTCTGCAGGGTCAGATCAGAGTGTAAATTCAATATGATCATGTGTGTATTTTCATTAATTTCTTTTCCAGTGTTCAATGCCATTGTTCAGCTTTGTTTGAAACATGCTTACTCAGTACTGTTCCACCATGTTGGAGGGACACACAATAGACATGGAAAGAGGTTTGTAAAAGGCTGTCAGTCAGGCTACTTGCCAGCCAGCCAGTCAGGTTGTCAGTCAATAAGTCAGTCATTCAGTCAGTCAGTTAGTCATTCAAATAGATTGAGACAGTTAGCAAGTCAGTCAGTCAGTCTGCTAGTCAGTCAGCTTGTCAGCTAATCATTCAAATAATCACTCAGTTAGTCAGTCAGTCAGTTACTGGGTCATTCAGTCAGTCAGTCAGTCAGTTACTGGGTCATTCAGTCAGTCAGTCAGTTACTGGGTCATTCAGTCAGTCAGTCAGTAGGTTAGTCATTCAAATAGTTTGTGAGTCAGTGAGTCAGTTAGCAAGTTAATCAGCCAGTCAGGTAATCATTCAAATAGTCGCTCAATTAGTTAATCAGCAAGTCAGTAAGTCAGTCATTCAGTCAGTCAGTTATTGGGTCAGTCAGTCAGTCAGTTATTCATTCAGTCAGTTATTGGGTCAGTCAGTCAGTCAGTTGGTTATTGGATCAGTCAGTCAATCAACTCAGTCAACTGATAAGACCGCTTCTAGCCAAATGACACCTTCCAAGAAAGGGTTTTTTTCCACTCTCTGGTTTTTACACTGCAGAGTTCTACCCTCTTCACACACAAAGTGGTCTCAAGTGAAGACACCCTTAAAGCACTATCTTAGTGATGTCCTACAGGTAAGTAAACTCATCATTCAATGATAATCTCGGGAATCACATTGTAGTGTTCTCATAAACATTTTTCAACATTGTCATTTTTTTTTCCTAACAGTTGTTGCGGACCCTCACAGAGCCATCCATGTTGTGTGTAATTCTGCGACATGCACAGCAATTAACGCCATATTATGCCTGCTTTCCCAAAGTGGCCAAGGCTTTTATTAAGGTAAAACTGCAGTCTTGGCAGTGCAGTTTTTTGTCTCCGACTTGTAACAGTTATTACAATTAAATCAGTTAGTCATGGACGTAATTGTTATGAAGAGTGCCAGCTTTTTTGTCTGAAACTTTTATTACGACAATTGCTATTCAAACCAGTGGGTTTTTATCGAGAGTGCCTCAACTTGCCCGCAAGAAAAGAAATGCTCGCACTGAATTGACAGTCATGAGGGTCCTCTCCCAAACTAAAAATCAAACGAACTTGTCATGCATTACCTTATAAAAGTACTTCACAATGTGCATGTGTGAGGCTCGTTGCATATTGTATTCAGTTATGACTTTTTTTGACAAGTGTAATTTGGGGCATTGACTTTGACTTTGAATTTGACTTTTCAACACCGATAAACTGCGATGGCCAAACCTTTTAGAAAGTTAATTGTCTGTGGCATTTGGGAGGCATAAGCGAATTCCGATCACAACTCTAACTGATATCGGGAATAAGCTCTCTAGAGCGTATTAAAGCAAAACCAAGATTGATTTGGAAACTCACTTGAAAGCTGCTCTAATCTTCTCTATTTCAGCGTCTTGTTAGGATGTGGAGTGGCGGTGAAGAACACGTCAGAGTCCTTGCTTTTCTAGGGATCAGAAATGTTTCCACCATGATGCCTGCTGCACTTCTGGAGTTTACTGTTAAGGTTCGTTTGTTTATTAGATCAATTCTACGTAATATGTTCTGATTTTAATCACACACTTAAGGATACGGTAAACCTTCGCGAAAAATATTGTTGACGAGCTATTTAAAGCGTGAGCACCATACACTATTTAGAGATTGAAAGGTAACGAAATGCGCATCTGGCAAAATTGTTCCGTTTCAGCTTGACCCAATCGTAAACCGACTGGCTCGCGACAATTCAAAACGGACGATGTTTCTTTGAGCAAATTAATTGGGTGTCAAATCTCACCGCACAAATGAACTTTCTGCATAAATTTAAACCTGAGGCTTTGGTTTTCAAATCGTTTGGGGATTCTTCGATATTCTTATTGGGTATCGAGTTTACTTATCATAACTTTGCTGATACGCATTACGTCGGAAGCCATTCCGGATATCATTTACGAAAAACGGAAATCCCTCTCACGGTTTCCTTGGTTGGTGTCATGGAAGTTTTCTCCCCATTTCACAAACCGAACGTTATGAGTTGTTAACATTTTAATTGATGCCTCTGTTTATTGCTAAAAAGTAGTAGTAGAATAGAAATAGTTCTTTCACTAAATGTACTTAGCCTGATGCAAAGATCTGTGCTTTAATCTTTCAGCAACTGTACATGAATTTTGTGAAGAATGCAAAGTTTATGTCGCCAAAGACCAAGCCCGTCATCGCGTTTATGCAGAACTCGCTTGTGGAGATATTTAGTTTGGATGAACATCTTAGTTATCAGTATGGATTTGTGTATATCAGGCAGCTTGCTATTCATCTTAGGAATGCCATTCTGCAGAAAAAGAAGGTACAAAATGATGTCTTTCCTTCTTTTGAATCTCTAAGCTCGTGGTGATAATTTTCAATGTGCTGGTGATAAAGTTTTCTAGAGCCGAATGGACTGTAATATTAGGAATTCAGTACACGATTAGTCTCGGTGCGAATCAGAGATAAATACACGTGATTCGATGGTTTAAGACAATCGAGTCACTCTCTGCTGACAAAACAACATCCGAACGCCCGCTGCTTGCACAAGCCACCATACCAATTCTGCTGTGGAATCCGTGTTGCGCAATATTTCTGTTCCACCGCTTACGTGCCCTTTAAAGCCGATCTTTTATGCTTTGTTGATTATTTTTTATCCCATATCCCATAGGATTCATACCAGTCAGTATATAACTGGCAGTATATTCACTGTCTTCATCTTTGGTGTCGTGTTATAAGTGAAGTGAAGGGCAGCGGAGTGCTCCAACCACTTATTTATCCTTTGGTTCAAACAATCATCGGAGCAATCAAGTAAGCAGCTGAGTAATATATTTTTATATTTTCCGTTCTTCACGTTGTTTGTAGTCTTCGTCGTTCTGCGTCGTTGTCATAGTTCGATTGCCGCTCAAAAATGAAACATTTTGGCAGGTTTCTGCGAGAATAGACTCTCAAGGCGAGATCGAATTTACCTGATTGACATTGTCATTCAGATAAACACGGTACAAAGCTGGTTCTACAAGTATTTCCTGAAGTTGAGCGGTTGGCCTATGTTTTCGTGGGAGTTTTGCCAGTATTTGCTGTCAACAGCCAACATCTTATGTTATAGCTAGGCCCTAGGACGATCTTCACCGGTTGTCGCTCCAGGATCGGTCCCGCGTGCGGTCTACAAAAAAAGTGCTCCCACGCCACTTTTATTGAACGCTGTGATTGGTTGGTAATTGGAGGTGTGTCTGGGGGCGGAAGAGCTTAAACGATAGTGTTGGTACAGGCGTTACATTTTTCACGCTTCTCCCTTCGCGCGTGACTCGCACTTCGCGCTCGCCTCGCGTTTGCCTCCGTTCGCTGAAAACGCCAAAAAATTAACATTGGTTCTGCAGGCTACCCATTTTAGACACTAGCTTCTGATTACCATTGTTTGGACACTAATGTCCAATTTTAGACGTAGTGTCTGATTACTATTTTTTGAACGCTAATGTCCGATTTTGGACCCTAGTGTCTGATTTAGGGCACTGAAGTCTTTTTTTTGTCAGACTCTAATGTCCAATTACCATTTTTAGACAATGGCTAGCGTCTGAGTTTAGGCACCCTCGTCCGTTATGTGGAGCCCTGCAAAGCGATCGGAAGGAAAGAGTTTAATAAATTTATCGTGGTATTGTAACAGGTACTGTTCACCAGTGACTTCAGCATCAGTGTTTTATTTATATCCTGTTTTTTTGTAGGCTCATTCCTGCGGCAAGATTTTATCCTCTGAGATTTCACTGTGTTCGTTCCTTGAACCTTCTATCACAGGCCACAGACACTTACATACCGGTTGCACCATTTTTATTAGAGGTAAGTCTAAAGTTATACAGAGAAGGTGCCAGAGATGTTGCATTTGTGTCATTAGCAGCCGCAACGCATGAGGTTTATGAAAAATAAAAGAAGGAAAAAGAAAGAAGAGAAAGAAGAAAAAAAATTAATGACAAGCTTACCTGAAAAGGGCAGTGAAACCATGTGCATGTACTTGTTAGAACCTTCAGTGATAAAGGAGGACCTTTTCAAATTTAGTAGACTGGTATCTTTTTTACCAAGATGATTATTAGCTCTCTCAGATAGTTGAAACAAATATTTGGCCTTTCTTTGATACATGTCTATCTCGGTACTCTATAAATCAAATCAGTTAGATGCGACATCCAGTGACAGGGTGTTAGACCAGAGGGAAGTCATTACAACTGCTAAAGATTTGCTTATCTTCAGTGTTACTTTTAGTTGATGTTGTCGCTATTTTTCCCCCCGTAGCCTCTTACATTCAAGCGGTAGTATTCATATTCTTTACACTGTTCTCTTTACGTTTCTTATGTTACTGACAAGGAGAATTTGTTTAGCAATCGGGAGCTTCTTAAATTGGTGATCATTTCCTTTGTTCTCGTAACCTATACATTTGATTCAAGGGTGACATTGTATGGAGAAACTAGAAGCCAAACACTTGTAGCGGTTAAAGCGTTAATTACACCGATGTAACCTTTTTTTTTAAATAAAGGGGTAAGTTTCTAAAGAAACTGTGGGGTTACGTCGGTGGAAGAGTATAACAAGGTAATTTAGTATTATCAATTGAGTTGATAACGTAAATTGGCCACCGTGAACTGAGAGTGATAAAGCTAACCTTCCTTTGGTTTGTGTTAGATCTTAGAGTCAGTCGAATTCAACAAGAAAGTCAAAATGTCAACAGCAAAGCCAACAGAGTTTTCTTGTATACTGAAAGTTTCTAAACAGCAGTTGGGTACCAAGCCTTATCAGGTATTGTTAGACAAGAATAATTTGACCACCTTGACTGTCATAATTGTCACAAGAGCTGCGCTCCTTTGTCACAGTTTGTGCATCTTTAACAATCTTAGGTCTTCATTTGCAATATATTTTCTTCACCTCGTCCTGAGCCAAACCTATTCTTTGTTGCTGTCTCCTGTAAGCTAAGGTGGCTTTATTCCAGAAAAACTTAGATGAAATATCAGATATTACTCCATAAATAAGAATGTAATTCTTCCAGTTGAAGTAAAAATTCTACGTCCCATAATGGGCCTACGCATCATACCAACACTTTGCAGCGAAGAAAAGAAACATATTTTTGGCTGGGGGGAAAACCAGCGTTTAAACGTTACGTTTTGTATAAAGAGAGACCCTTTCGTCTATATCCCTGTTCGTTTATATCCTGCTCCTGTCCTCTGAGATCAAAGTCCACTCCAGTGCAGGTAGCCCCAAGGATTTTGACAGGTTTCCGTGACATTCCGTTGTGAATCATTTTCTTCTGAGTTCATAATGATAAAGCAAATAGCTGGGAAAAAGGAAAGCAAACAAAAACTATATAGGATCATGACTATAGCTCTACTGTACACGATTCGAATTGGAAATAGTTTTAGTGTTAACGTTCAGCAACATCCGTTGAAGGAAAATCAATGGGTAACTTCCAAGTTTTAATTAGCCATGATTCAGCCCTCAAAATGACAGGCGACTTACAAATGTAATTTGCTTTTTCTGGTACTATTTAATAGGGTTTTATGTTAATTGAAGTTAGAGTTGATAAAAGATGAAAATTTAGTTAAAAACAAAACGTTATTCGGAAGCACTCCACTTTTGTTTCTAGTGTTGGAAAATTCAAAGTTTTGAAAAGAGAAAGGTTTCATAATTTGAGAGGAAGCCATAAGTTTTATATTTAATTCAGGCCGAATCACTGGCGAAAATTAGCCAAAAAAATTAGACTTAAGCTACAAAAAAGAACAGAGACCAGCAAATGCCATATTGGCTAGAGAGCAGAATCTTTTAAAAGCCGTCTCCCTGTCCATGTTAAGTCAATACGCCTTGATCTTACTGTGTACGTCAGCCCGCTGAGAATATAATTGCAATTCAGTGTCGGCCTGTTATCCAGCTGTTCTTTCTCCAAAGAGATTCATATTGAAAAAGAAACATCTAGATTATTTTCGCTTCATCTAAGTAGGCCCTCCAAATGCTTGAGGAAATAACACCATTTCTTACAATAAATAGGTGTAGAACGGCTTCGTAACGAATTCTTTTGCTAATTTCGGTAACCTTCTGACATAGAATTCAACTGTATAAATTACGTTCTGTTAGTCGTTCAGTATTGTCACACTTGGTGCTTTTTCTCTTCAAACAGAGGCTCCGTCAGTCAAAATAAATATTCCCCCTTAGTAATTGATGAATTCTGTGTTTTATTTGCTTTTACATCCTAATAAGTTGTTAAGTATCCCGTATCCAGCCAACACGCGCTGAATTCGTCAATGATGGTCCGATTTAAATTCCGCTTTAAAGTTCGTTCAAATTAGACTGTTTACAACGATGAACGCAATCACATTTGACAACGCAACAACGAGCCCTTCACCATCTTCAGGGTTAAACATTTACGCTCAGCTGAGCCCTACCTTTTATCTGTGCCTAGTCATTTACGATGCGATCATCGCCCTGGCGACTTCTCTGGGAAATTTTCTCCTGCTCGTTGTAATCTACCGCGATCCTCTCCGTTGCCTGAGAACTCCGACAACCTCTCTGATCGCAAATCTCGGGGTGGCTGATTTCTTTGTTGGAGCTTTTCTGGGATTCGGTCGCACGGTGGAAATGTATTTCCTCTACAAAGGACACCAAGAACCTCAGTATCTAAATACTTTCCAATATTTCATAGGAGCACTGGCTATGTTTGCGGCAGTTTGTTCCATAATGGCGATGTCTTGGGATCGTTTTGTAGCAGTAACAGACCCCATTAATTACAAGAACAGAATAACAGTAAAGAAAGTGAAGTTGTACATTCTATTAATTTGGCTAAATGCGTTCTTTTTGGCCGTTTTACCCGCCGCTGGTGTCAGAAAACTTGACTTTCTCTTCGCATACTGTTACTCACATATGTTTGTTCCTGCAATCGTCTTAACAATCGCCTATGTTGTGGTTTTCAAGACTTTATCTAAAAAGCTTGGACAGTTTAAACGGAGAGGTTTTACAGAAAACCCACCGACCGAAACGCATAGAAATTACCACCACGAGAAAAAACTGGTTTTTGCCATCTTTCTTGTTTTAGTCGCGTTTTATATGTGTTTTGCCCCGTTCTTTGTGAAAGTACATTTGTGGTTTTTCTGTTCACAGTGCGATAGCTCTCCCGCGTTTTTAACATATCACTTCATATCGAATGATATCCTTTCCCTGTCTGCGCTAATCGACCCCTTTATCTATGCCTGCCGATTGCAAAGTTTCCGAAAAACTTTTTTTAGAGTGCTGGGTTTCAGAAGAAATGCTATTAATGAGAGCGCATAGGCCAAACAAAGAATTATTTTGTAAGCTTTTAGTCTACCTAGGCAGCTATCAAAGTGAACTGTAGTCTCTGTCATTTTTGACGGAGAAATCGAATGTTCTAGTTCAAGTATTGGTAAGCAAAGAATTTCTCAAAAAAAAATCTGCACTCAGATAATTAACATTCTTTTATTTAAATTCTCTTAAAATTGCAATACTTTGGTAAATCGATTTTCGTTTTGTTTGTCTAATATGTGGAACAAATTTATTAGATAGCCTTATACACTAAATACAGAAGGAAGACCGATGAATTACACTCGGTTTGTATCTTATATAATTCTTCTCCTTGTAACTTGTTTCCAAAATTTAATGATAAGTTTTATTCCTCCTCTGTTGTTATTTTTCATTTTGCAGAAGTTGTTAACGCGATATCGGACAAAATTAACTATAAGTCATGGAAATGAGCGACTGTCGTGATACAGATGAAACATTAGCTTTTAAAGAGAATCGGACGACAAAAAATTAACATATCAATGTGAATATTTACTTTCAAAAAGGCGATAGATGAAGGATATTTATTTAGTCGCCTTCGCTTTTGTTTGTTGCAAAATCCTAGATTGTTCACAGATTTTATTACCCGACCTTTCATATCTTGAATGTTTTTCAGCTAACTCGGTAATTTTGCTTCTAGTTACTCCCAATTCCCGAGACGAACAACTTTTTTCGTCAATACTTTGGCAATCGTTTCGATACGAAAGATGAATTTCCTAGAAAAAAACAAGTTTCTAAGGTAATCCCGAGTAAAATTTCTTTCAGGGAATTAATATCCTAGCCCTTATTTACAACCACCTGCAAGATTTAATTACTACAGTTACAATAATTCCCACAGACTCGTAAATATCGAAGAACAATTGCCTTTATCTTACTTGCTCGTGGCACAATAGGTTTAAAAAAAATGAAAGCAAATGATTCGGTATATCTCAAATTGAAGTGCGCTCGCATTAGTCGGCGTTTTCCCGACAAAAATATATTCTGACAAGTTTACCCGCGGTAAGTTTACCAAATATAATGGCCTTTAAAAGTACAGTAGAAGCTGATGAAAAATAACTACCAGAGGGAAAAAGATAATTATAGATGTTCGTTGGAATGAAACCTTGGTTCTTTATGAACTAAGTCTTACTACATTATGCCTTTGTCTAAAAATGATTACAACATCATGACAACTAAGATAGCTCTGATTGAGGACACAAATAGGAGGCCTGGGAATGAGGCGAAGGACTCTGTTCAAGTCTCGTTACCACGTTAAGGCCAAACGGAAACTGTGACTAGCGGTCATAGCGATTGCGATATTACAATGCTTCTTGGGATTTCTGATCGCCACGATCCCCTATTGATGAAACTTGATATCCGTTTGATCTTGAAAACAGGTGCAATTGCAACAATTTTTTTCTTTTAAGAAATTTTTCTTTCTAATCGTTTCCAATCGCCGATATCAACACGATCGCAGCGTAGAGAGATCGTTAAGGACTCTGCTTACATTTTTCAGAAGTCATTAAGTTTAAATTATGCCGAAATGTGCAGTTTAAATGCTGTAGGCGAGGAGAAAGGTATATGTGAAGGAGATAGGAAGACTGGTTGTCTTCCGCTTTTACTCTCCAACCTGTCGCTGCTTACCTTACTTGGTATTCGCATTTTTTAAAATTCTCTTCCAGGTTGTGTAAAGCCTTTCTAGTTGTCATCGTCTCATAGCAACGACACTCCGATCTCGATTAAAAACAAGTAGCTTTTACTCTCAAGAATCCCGAGATGTTGTTCAGTTTAGCGACAACGTTTTACCAACCAAATATGGTTTTCTATAGCACAAGTCTTCCTTGCGTGCGTGTCCTGAATCTTAAACAATAATCGGAATTATTTACAAAGCTTTGCTTTTCTAACTCTTTGTCACCTATTAATTTTGTGCGTTATTCCAGAACCGGGTTGTCTAACGTAATATTGGAAATATTCATCTCTGTCCAATGTCAGTGGAAATGACTTTTATTACTAATTGTTATTTTTTAATCTAAATTGCTATTGTTGGAGTGCAAATATAACCTACTTTAGAGATAGGAAATGGCTAAAAATTAATATTGAGGACAATTATGAACGGACTAGAAAAACTCTTTGTACCAGGCCGTTGAATTAGATCTGTCAACGAACTGACCTTTCGGCAAATACACCTGATTAAAGTCGTTTAATTCAAGTTTTGGTTGCATGCATTTTTTTTATGCTACTTTTGTGTAGGTCTTAAAAATAAACTACTTTTTTCCAATACTCTGATCCTATTTCTGAAAGCTCAAATTTACGGAGTTATTCCCCAAAGAATGATTTGTTGTGCATTCGTTAACTTAAAACCACTTTTTGCTAAAGGACGTTACTTGCATTAAAATGAGAAAATTATGAGAAAACAGTATGGACATCTTTCTGGGTTTGTTCAATAATGTGAAAATCTGAAACAGAGCAAAGAAATAATTTCGTGCGACTTTTGACGAGAAGAAGTATACTCAACTATTTTAGATGTATTTATTGCAACTTTTTCAAACAGATTGAAAAGTCCTTATCCAAGGTGTAGGACTTCATCTTAAAATCTCAAAACTCGAAAGGTTTGGAAAGGCACAGATTTTTTTTTCGCTATGCTTTTGAAAGACACTTTTTGTCATTTTTGCTATGTTTTGTCGAGATGACGATAAAGGATATGTGATATTGCATAATATGCAAACATTTCCTTTCTCTTTTTCCACACACGATCCGTGCACATTTATATGTTTTTTAAACAGGCCGTTCAACGGCAATGCGTTGTCTCAAGCCCAACACTGTAAGGAACGTTTTACGAAAGCTTTGCAGTCGCCAGGCATAGATAAAAGGATCGATTAGCGAAGAAAGTGATAAAATATCATTTGTTATGAAGTGGTATGTTATGAAAGCAGCGGAGGTTTCACATCGTGAACAGAAGAACCACCAGTGAACCTTGACAACAAACGGAAAAAAGCAAGTATAAAACACAACTAACACAAGGAAGATGGCTAACACCAGCTTTTTCTCTCGTTGAAAGTTCCTCCGCGTTTCGTTCGTCGAGTTTCCTGCACACACTCGCCGGTTAAAAGTTTGTAGTTTTTGAGACAACGTCCTGAAAACCACAACGTAGGCGACTGTTAGGAGGATTGCAGGAAGAAACACATGCGAGTAACTGTATGCGTAGAGGAAAGTTATTTTTTTGACACCAGCGGCGGGTAAAACGGCCATAAATGACGCATTTAACCAAATAAACAGAATGTACAATTTCACTCTCTTGACTGTTATCCTGTTCTTGTAGTTAATGTGGTCTGTTACTGCTACAAAACGATCCCAAGACATCGCTATTATGGAACAAACTGCCGCAAACATAGCCAGTACTCCTATGAAATATTGGAAAGAATTTAGATACGGGGGCTCTCGGTGTCCTTTGTAGAGGAAATACATTTCCACCGTGCGACCGAATCCCATGAGAGCTCCAACAAAGAAATCAGCCACCCCGAGATTTGCGATCAGAAAAGTTGTCGGAGTTCTCAGGCAACGGAAAGGATCGCGGTAGATTACAACGAGCAGGAGAAAATTTGCCAGAGTTGTCGCCACGGCGATGATCGCATCGTAAATGACGAGGCACAGATAAAATGTAGGGCTCAGCACAGCGTAAATGTTTAACCCTGAAGATGGTGAAGAGCGTGGTGTTGTGTTGTTAAATGTGGTTGCGTTCATCATTACAACACACGGTTGGTTTCTGTGACAGCTCTGGAGATGTTGTGTCTTTCTTAAGGACTATTCTACCAACAGTGCATGTGAATCAGAACTTTCCTCGCTACTTTTGGCAAATGAGTCAGTTTTACCTCCCCGTATCATGTGATCACGAACCAATGGTGTCGACGTCTTCCCTTATACTGCGCATGAGTAGTTTCCGTTTCCCTTTTATTAGCATTGTAAGCGTGGGTCGCTAAAGAATTGAGTCAGGACATTAGGTTTAATAGAGCAAAAGAAAAACATTTTGCGCGCTTTATTACGCCTGGTGTCCTCACCCTACCCCTGCTTGGCTGGAAGCAAATCAAAAATACTGCCACAGAGGCTATCTTATCTCAAAACTCAAAGGGGCGAATATGCAATATTATCATATGACCCGAACGGCCCCGTGCGCCTTTTTAATCGAGAAACGTTAAACAAAAATCTCCGTGTGGGTAATGTACGATAGCGTTAGTAGGCCTTACAAAACACTACGGCCTCGTAAGCTGCGAGGTTGAAGAAGAAACGAAGGAAAATAAAGAACGATGGCCATATGATAGAATGCCAAGTTAGATTCGGCCGGGCTGGTCATGGGGTCAGGCCAAATATGTTCCCTTTCGGCGCATGGCACATTTAGATTTGACAACTGCCTCATGTGTGTCACCTTTAATCACACAGGCATTTTTCTTCTCAGGATGCAGTTATGGACCATATCTTTGAATTGCTGTTAGAGTTCTTTTCTATACATGCGCACTCGATAGCATTCCCAGAAGTTGCCCTCCCTGCCGTGTTAAGGGTAAGTAATTCCAATTTTGTGGTGTATAGCGGTTTTCGATTGTCGTAGAACCAAAGTCAAAGTAATCAAAACGGCGAATCAGAACAAGGGAAAATACCTGCAGGTGTCAATGAGAATTCAAAGTAAAAACAACCCCGCTCCGTAAAGTGCGCGGATACGCGGGCGAACAAGACGTGAGTGGTTTCAGTTTTGCATCCGATTGGTAGAAAGAGTGGGGCATATTTTCCGGACCAATCACGGAGCACGGGTGAAGCAAAATCAATGCGATCTCGGATTATTTAAAACACTATAATGAAAACTGCTTTGTATGGCCATGACAACGCTATTTACTCTCCTTTCGCAGCTAAGAAAGTTTATTAAGACAACAAGCGTTCCAAAATACCGGAAGCAGTTCAAGCAACTCGTTGACAAGGTAATAGTTAAGTAAACCTTCCAATTCTGCCTCATTGTGCAGTTTTATTACAGGAATCGGTTCAAATTTTTTTCGTCCTTTTTACCAGATTGAGGAGACTTCCACGGAAGTAACAAACCGACGATCTAAAGTGTCCTTTAGTCCTAAAGATTTGGAGGAAGTGGTAAGTTTCTGAGCCATTGTAGAGAAAATTTTAAGGCAAGCGGACTAAACTAGCTGTAAGCTGACGGTATCCCTATGTATTTTGCTCTCTGTACTTTCTGGAATAACTGCGCTGTATTTTCGATCAATTGTGGAAGTCACAAAACGCTCTGAATAATGCTGTTGAAACGCTGTTTGCTTTTTTTCCACAGGAAAGATGGACGGCTCAATACAGACAACAGCCAAATAGTATTGTGAAGTTTTACAAGACTTGGAAGACAATGAAACCGTCCATACAGCAAGAGGTAAGACGCAGTGACGTAAACTTTCAAAAAGGGTGGAGTCAGCGAGAAAATTATGTTAGCGCGCAGTGCGGAACTTTGGGAGTGAGGCGCCTCAATCCCAAAGTTCCGCGCCACGCGCCAACATCAATTTTTTTGCCAATTTTTCTGTTTTACTTGCGCTACGGACTTCCGAAAAGAATGGACTGTTTACAGTCTAAAAACTGATTTCTTTTCAAATGTCAACGAGTTACCTAACCTTTCGAAAATTGTCTTAAAAATTTCGACTATAATAACAGTGTTTAGCATGGTAGTTTAGCATGGTAGTAGTTTAAACTTAAAAGCTGAGAGAGGCACTGGAATACTAGGAAAGCCATTTGTCTTCTCCAAATGCCCAAAAACACAACTTAATGATGACGTTTAAGAGTAGAACTCGGATCTCTCGGTCCGTAATCGAGCAGGCTAATTACCAGGCCACACCTTCTGTAATTACCTAGGATAGCTTCTGAAAACTCTTCTTAATTAAGTAGCCTGTCGTAAGTTGGATGTGATAATCTCAAATTCACTCGATTGTTTTGTAGGATATGGAAATAGAAACTGGAAATGGAGAGAACGAGGAAACATCTGACGGGGAAGAAACAAAAGCGGCGTCAAAGAGGAAGAGAAAGCATCAGAGCTCTGAAAATAAGAAGGAACTAGAGAAAGATAAAACGAAGAGACGGAAGGCTGTTAATAAAACTACTTCTGAAAACACTTCACACACGATGAACATAACTATGGATGCAGACGTGGAAGACATTGTAGAGGATTTCCAATTTTCATCTGATGAAGATTAGTGAAGGCTCTGTACAGAAACGTACAGGAAAAAGTCATTGTCCAATTCAGGCTCTGCCTTTAATAATTTGAGAGAAAAGAATTGATCGGCGCATGAGCTTTGTGTCGACTTTCAACTACAGAGAAAGATCTAAATGTCGTCCGCCACCTTTCAAGAAAAAAAATCAGGCTGATAACATGCTGATATTCTGTATTCACTTGTATTTTATTAATGATAACAAAAACATTAAATAAAGGAGATTAATTTACAGAGACTGACTAATGTCCTCGCCTTCTTAAAAAAATATTTTTTTGATTTATTTACTTGTTCCTGAAACCTTTCTAAGTGACAACAGAATTCGCTGGGGCCAGTCGGTGAATGATACTATAAAATACGCGTTTAACAATAAGCTTGCAAGGAGTAACAAACTCCTAGTAATTGGTGTCATTATTATCTTCGGGGAAAAAGTCTGACGTTTGGTCCTTCTTGGGATTCGCTTTGATTTTGACTTTCTGTCATTCATTAGATGTGAATTCTGTTGAAAGGAAGTAAATTTGTTTTAAAACGCGTTAGATCATCATCACGAAGACATATTAATAATTTGTCGTCAAAGCTATGGACCTCTGTTATAAATTAAGGGCATGATTGTTAATTTTACATGGGCGCAAATTCGCGTTGCTAGCGTCGACATGACGGGGTAGAGGCTAAGGAATTTCCAGCCAACAGAGAGGCTAAGAAGACTTATTTGCAAACATGTTAAAGAGGAAAGTGCTTTCAACTCCGCGAATTCGTTGCCAAACTGGTTTCTTACCCGCTGAAAGTTCTCATCTTTTGTGTCCGATTCAGACTCGGAGTCCTCATCCGAGGAGATAGTGTAGGAGTTACCACCAGAGCGAGCAACTGAAAAGGACACAGTAAAAACTTAGAATTCTCTCACCGCAAAAAAAATTCCCCATTCACCCGTCCCTGACGTCACTCTTAACCTCCCACCCACCCGGCCCCCAGCCCCTGAATATCTACAAGAAGTCTACCGAAAAAGCAAATCAGGTAAATATAAGGCCAGGGATACTGAAACTTCCTGGTGACAAACTCTCGAGCTAAATTCAAGGGATCACTTCCTCTGCTAAGACTTACTATTTCACTAAACGATTATCCGCATTGATGACAACCTCGTTCTCAGGATCTTTCTAAGAACGAAAGAGAGGGGAACCTGGGAACAAAGTTGCCTTTTGAGTCTGACCAAAAACGCCACAACTACCTAAAATAATGTAATTTAAAAAGCGACTATAAACTAAGATTAAGAGTTGGTAAAGTTTGGGTCGTCGAATGAAGAACAATATTATTCGTTTAGCCAAGAGCGCTTAGCGAAGTTAGAAATTGGATCCCACTCGAAGACTTTCCGTCAGAAAGACATGAGGGTTAAAAATCAGGGCCCTTTTCGTGAAAGTCTCCCTGACATAATGGGCCCAAAGCCAAATTTCAAATCGTAGCTCTAAGGTATAATAATGCGGGTCTTAGCTCAAAAACCATTCATTTGTCATATGTTTCGTTTCGTTATTTCGATTAAGAAGTGAAAAGTTTTCCGAGACTGCCCACTACTAAAAATTTCGGGGAAAATGGCCCAGCAGCACCAAACAAATTTAGAGATTATTTATATTCCCTTACCACTTTGTGTTTCTAAGGTTCGGGCTGCTGGAGATCTGTCACGGAGTCCAGAAAAATGCAACGTTGCAGGAACGATGAGGGGCCTTTGTTGCATGGATACCAAAGGTGTCTCCTCTGAATTGTTGCTCAAAGTTTGACTCCAGAAGAAACCTTTATGGAAATAAAAAAAGGCTTAAATCAAAATCTAGCCTACACAGCTGGTGCTTTTGCGCGCCTTGAGGCATCACGCAGCGAGAAATTTAGGACAAACCTTGCAGCTGTGCTGCGTCCAAAAAACAGGCCAGCTTTGCCATGCTGATTAAAATTCAGTTAAAAGCCCATATCACAAGAAAACTCTCCCTCTTCGCGCTTGAACTTTGTAGACTTTGCTTGAGTGTTTGATTCTTCAACTACGAGCATAATCTTGAAATGAATCCTGAAATTATACGGGGATGATCTGCTTTAGGCGTTTTCCTATCTGGGAACCCTAACGAATCGGACTTAATTTTTTTATTATTATGGGTCCGTTCACTTTTTCCGTCAAACTCTTAGGGGATTATGAACATCAGAGACTTCGCCAAATTAGCACTAGACGTCAGGTTATAGCGACATGTCACAGTACCCCTTACTACTAATATACCTCGTTTTCTTGGTCCGTACGGTAAGTTACGGACCGAGTTTTTTTCGCTCGTATTGTCGCTCGCTCATTTCATACGTTAGAAATTTTTCATATCAATTCAAACAAACTTCTCGGTTTAGTGGGCCGTAAAGTGAAATAAGGCTCGCTACATTGACTAATCATGGCGCACGTACTAGGAGATATAAAAGACCGTTATTTTGATAGGCTATTTTGTTGCTGTGGTAACTTGCCACGTTAAATGGACGATCCAAGAATGTTTATTAAGTACAGATCATTTCTTTACTGACAATACTTTGTAATAAAATAATAACTAATTTTTATCACAAAAAAAGACACCATAGAGCAACCAAAAACTCTCAGAAATTGAAACTGATATTCTAAATGGTGCAACATAGCTCATTGGGCAGTTATCATCTCTCTCGTAAACAATTGATTGGTATAGTGTTAGACTCCTGCCGTGAAAACTTTGATTAGAAAGAACCTCTTGACAAAAAAATAAATTCCTTGCCTTGGTAATTATGGACTTCACTAAAAAATGTATCAATGAGTTTAGGAATAAATGAATAGGAAAGAAATATATATTTTAAGAAAGAGCAGTGCCCCCTATTGTGTTACTTATGCAGGAGTTTGTAGAAGTGTTATTATTTTTTTCTTTAAATCAATTTTTTTCCCAAAAAAACCCCTTCAACAACTTTGGTTTGATCTGCAAAAGTTAATCCTAACCCTTCATCTGATTTTCCAATTTTTTTTTTCAATAAGGAACTCGATACCATAAGTAAACACTAAAATGTAAATCAGATTTATATGATCTGTTTTTAAGCTTCACTAAGCAAAAGAGTGTTTGCCCTTTAAGTTCCACACGAACATGCGAAGAAATCCCTGGCAACGCCAAAATTAAATAAGCGTTTTTAAACCTGTATAAAGTAATGTATGTAAAAGTGTCTTTTCAGCCGCACACACAGTGCATTTCGGCTGAAAACTCTTGTGCGAGTTAACCAAAGAAGCAGCGGGCGGGATTGACCAATATATCTCACGTCGAAACTTTTTTACCAACTTTAAATTTAATCAAGAGAATCATATTTTCAAACTGTTCATTCAGGCCAAGGTGCAAGCTCATCAACTTAATGGGTCAATTTAAAATTCCTTGATATTTTTTTCATGTTCAAAAAACTATGACAAACTGCTTTTAAAGAAGGGACACTTTCGCGAGATCAACAGCTTACTGATTCAGAAAAAGCTCCACCAACTTCACAAGCCTGCAAAGGTAGGGCTGACACCGATTCTTTACAAACTTCTGATTTCATTTATTCTGTATGGATTATTTTAATTACGATGTTTGTCTGTGTCTACACTGATGCTTCTTATTTCAAGTTTTAAGTTCATTTTTATTGTCGTTCAAGTTTAGCTGAGTTTCAAACGTTTAATTCCCCTCTGCTTGAGCTTCTGCGCAAGCATAGGGAACCCTTTTGTTTATTGCTTGCATTTTTCTTTGCTTTTATCGTTTTCATGTCATTCAATATGCTAGGATCGCGAAAGTTCAGTGAGACCTTGGCTTCATCGATTTGAGACCTTCAAAAGTTTCCTATCCCAGCATAGCTGAGAATTCTCTCAGAGTAAAACTGTCACTTATATTGAAATCAATGTAAAAATATAATAACTCGACATTTTAAATACATATTACAGGATTTATTTAATATGCAACAAATAATGACATGACGAAGAAATAAAAAATTAAGTCGGAAAACAACGTAATTGAATGTGAGCAAAATTGATGAAATCTTAATATTATATTTTGTGTCCAAATATATTTGATCATCAGCGAAATATCTTCGTAAACGTTAGATATTTATTCACTGCTTAGAACTTGATTAAAATGTTACAGAGAAATAGATAATTTGATGCAAATGAAGATAAGCGCATTATGGACCGGGTGTGAGTACAATACGGATAGACATTTCTCAAGTTCTCTTTTCTTCTTTTCGCTTACATTTTTGACCCAAGACGTCGCCTTAGTTCAGTAAGGAAAAGAACGCGCCCAGAAGTCAAGCGTTGTTGACCAACCAAGTTTTGTCAATATGGTATTTTTAAAAGCGAAAATAATACGCTAAAGAATTACTGAAAAATTCATGAAACTTGATTGTTTAAGGGCCTTATTGTGACTTGGTTGCTGCCGAAACTGCTAGAAAACTTTCTTTTAAGGAAAAGGTTCCCTTGAAGTTACGATCTTAACCGGCTACAAGCTCTTTTTTAACTCTTTTGCGAGATCACAGTGGAAAATGCCGCGTGGCATCTTACCTGCTCAGCTAACCAATCAGAGCAATAGATTCGCTTCAAATTTCAAGCAGTGAGGCATACTCGATAGCTAGTGAGAGGACATGTTTTCAGTCATCACCAAACGTAACTCGGTTTTGACAGGAATGCAATCTAGGACCATTCCCATGGGAAGTTTTAATTCTAGACATTAAAGTCCTCTACGGAATTTCTAAGGACTTTTTTTCTCGCAATTTCTAGAGATACCCTGTTTCACACATTACCAAGCTTGAATATGATATATTTAAATGAAAATGTTGTTCCTTTTGTGCAAACGTATTGCAAACCGCTAGAATCAGCAATGTCGAGAACGTCAACGGAAATACCAGTTAGAAAACGAAATGTTTCAAATAATCCGTCTCCAATAATTTCAAATAACAAAACAAAAGCGGTTTCTTAGAGCTAAATTTGATCAGTTTCTAACCTCTTTAAGTGTATCGTATTTTTGCTTACTCAGTTTCAAACAGGAACTAACTGGATAGCTTGTATAAACGGCCTGTGCAGACAACTTATATCACGAGGTGATACTTTCAGAAGACTTGGGGAGGAATATTACACTGATGAAAACAGAACAATGATGCGATCATGCCGACAGAGATACTTTTGTAGCGCGCTTCTGTTCCTCATAACAACGTTTATGTACTGTTTATTCTACGGTCAAATAATACCAGTCAGAGAGCTCACGAAAAACTACGAAATTCCTTATGAGAAAGTGTTTGCAATAAATACACCGGAATCATTGGGGCAAACTGAAAACGCGATTCAAGATACAGATGACATAATCATCTTTGATTCGATCACAGAAAACGAAAAAAACTTACAACAAAAGCTAGCAGACGACGAAACCGCCAGTCACCAAATCGAAGGTAACACAAGATCACAACAGAGCGGGCTTTCAAACTATGTGATGACCAATGAAGGAAACGAAAGCGAAACGGAGTTGCAACAAAAAAGACTTCCAAATGCTCTTATCATTGGAATACGAAAAGGAGGAACAAGAGCACTTTTGGATTCTCTTGCGCGTCATCCCAGCGTGCGAGCTTGTTCAAGAGAACTGCATTTCTTTGACGAACAAGACAACTATAAGCGAGGCTTGGAGTGGTACAGAAATCAAATGCCTAAGTCTTTGAAAAATGAAATCACAATTGAGAAAACACCAGCCTATTATGTTACTCAAGATGCTCCTCGTCTGATTTACAACATGTCCCCGGATGTTAAGCTGTTGGTGATAGTTCGTGACCCGACTGTGCGTGCGATTTCAGATTACGCGCAAATCTTCGATAAATATCAGGGCAAGATCAGACCATTCGAGGAATACGTCACCAAAAATGGCACAGTGCTAAAATATAGCAAAATAGTCCAAACTGGCGTCTACATAACTCATCTAAAAAATTGGTTGAAATATTTTCCTCTAGAGCAAATTCTCTTCGTAAATGGCGAAGAACTTATCAAAAACCCCGTCCCAGAATTGAAATTGGTAGAGAAATTCTTGGGACTAAAACCATTCATTGATGAAAAGTTATTCTACTTCAACGAAACTAAGGGTTTCCCGTGTTTAGTTCCACCCACTCAAACGAACGGTGAACCAACCAAATCTGGATGCTTGTCAAAAGACAAGGGTCGACCACACCCTCACGTGAACGAAGATGTCGTGACATTATTGCGTGACTATTACAAGCCGTTAAATGAAGACTTTTATAGGACTGTTAGCAGAAATTTCCAATGGCCTTAGTCAATTATCCTTCTCATACCTGCCGTGTTGCAAATAACATTTCACATTTCTTAAGTAAGTTACGTCTGAATATTTGAAAACTACCTCAACTTGATAGACACTACCAGATATGAGTTCGTTACGATGGCGAACTATGAGATCATGAACTCGAAAAAAAATTAGCCTCAAAAAGGACCGTGACCACTCAAATCTGCAATGTTGTCGCGTAATCTTTTGAGAAAATAATAAAAAAAAAAATTAAGAAAAAACAATAATGGCCAAAGATACACCTGGTTCGAGAGTGCCAGGATGAAGGTTAGGGACACAACGATGATAGTCCACTCTAAGGGGCGTGGTCAAGGCTACAAATGACAGGAACAAGGTTTCGAGACGACGAGATTCCATTGTTCTATGTATGAAATTTAAAAGAACTTTAAGTATTTCACAGAAATTAACCAATCACACAGCTCATGTGCGCAGCGGGTCCAGGCCTCTAATCTTAACAAATTTTATGACCCCTATAAATGATCTCAAAGTACCAATCAGAATGTTCTTCGACGTTACAATGGTGTTTTACGATACTAGTCGTAATAGACTACAAGAAAAATAAGTCCTTATTGACTAAGTAGGAGGGCAAGAAGGGAAAAAGTTTTAAGCCCAAGACCATGAGGTACGAACCAAACACAGTGAGGTCCATACATCACGATTGAGAGCCAAATATCTAACCATTCGGCCCGACCAAACTCAGTTAATAGGCATTTTTTTTCAGATGAATGTCGCTTTTTTTCACATGAACGTCGCTGCTCGCATCAGGGATGACCGTACGGCTATTGCAGGCTCTGCTCGCGCCATCGCCTACGGCCCTTTTACTGGGCGGGGGAGGGACGGGGACGTACGGGTAATGTGATAAAAAAAAAAAAACTTCGATCGAGGAGGAGAATGAGAATTCGTCTCAATTTGGAGTTGTGTAAGAAATAAGCCTGATTAAAGAATGTGTGATCATGATTTAGTTAACGAATTTGCCTGGCGAAGCAATATGAAGTGAAAGGTTTTTTATTTTACCTGTTCCAAAATTCCCTGCTGACAACGGGTTCCTGTAGCCATTCTTTCTCTTAGTGGGTAAACCTAATGACAGGCCATTCAGGTTGTGATCTAATTCTGTTGATGTTTTACGATGAGAGGGTGTACTCTGCGAATTAACAAGAACATACAGCAAGTTCTAGCCACTTGTAACACTGAAGAGCCATACATCAAACCTACGAAATATGCGGCGAAATGGAATCCGTTTGACAAATTGACGATTTCAACGGCAAGAGCCAGTTAAAAGGTCACCGTTTATTGATACAAAAGTATTTCATATATATGGAACCCACACTCTGTTTAACAAATAGATCCACGTTACCGTGCGTCTGTTCTGTAGTATATAGATTTAGCCAAGCCTAAAAGTGGAGCTCGCATTTTTTTCCCGCACGTCTCAAAGGCACAACGCCTTGCCCCGGCCAGGACTAGAACCCGGGTCGTCCGACTTGGAGCCCAGTGCACTGACCACTGGACTTCTAAACAAAGCCGTGACGTTGGCGTGCCCGCGGTACAGTTGACCACGCATGTTAAAAGTAGCACCTTGTACGGTCGCACGGTCGTACATCCAAATTTTTTCGGCTTGATGGGTTACTACTATTTTGTATAATTATGGGGCTACGCTCTGAGAGCTCCGCTAATAGATCACAGATGACTTCAAAATGGGATAGGAACAAAGGAGTGGCACACAAGGACCGGCTGAGTGTGTCACTGATGATTTTTCCACATTTTGACGTCTCCTGCGATCAGTTACTAAACAGACCCACGGCAACATGGGATCTCTTTGTCTTCACTAGCAATAGAGAAAAATGTTGTTAATGGTGACGTCATCTGTCTGTTCTCCAATAGATCATAAGTAATAACAAATGCGAGCGTAACGCTCCTTATTATGTAAACAAGATATCTCCATTAAAATTGTATCCCTGTGCGTGTTTACAGACATCTCACCTCAGAGCATGTACTTGTGTCCATGGCATTTGAATCAACTGCCGATGTGTGATGTTTTTCGACACTGGATGGACTTGGTGTAAATTGGCATCTGAAATCGTTCAAACAATGTAACGTAATTATGCCTAAATTCAATCTCGTATGCTCCTGAGTCCAGATATTTTTCAGCCAAACGCAGATTACCCAAGCCAACCCATTTTTTGCATTTCTTTTTAGACTTTTAAAAGTTTTCTTATCATTTCGAATACTCTAGTTATCAAATTAGAACTAAGCTGGAATTTGGTATTAAATAAATGTAACTTGTTTCCGACAGATTTCTTACGCAAACCTTAAATTTCTGTTACACTGCGTAACATTTCGATGTAGTTTATCGTACAATTCTGTGGCCCGTTTTTGATGCCGCAAAAAAACCCACAACTTTGCTTTTTTTCTTACAACTTCCTTAGAAGACTGGCACAGTTAAGTAATTTGCGCAAGTCGTGGAAATGAACGTGAAAAGAAAAAAGTAGTTTTGCAGATTACACATTCAAAAGTTTTGACCCAAAAAGAGAAATGCTCTGGCAAACGCCTTAAAAATTGCCGCAGAGTTGTTACGGTGACCGGTCACTTCGCCGAAATGACAAGTCGCTGATACCACTTTCCGACAATACTAACCAACCAGCCGACATCAACTCGCTGACACTAACTTTTGATACTTGATTTGATGTCAACGACCAAAGACGACTGACGGCGAGTTGACTAATAGAGGCGGCGAGTTGGCTTGTCGGCGAAGTGAGCGGGTACCACCGTTGCAATCGATGTGAGACATAGTCTTTTAGTCTGTCAGCGAAACTCTTTAACTCAGCGTCAAAACAGACCACATGTAAGTCTACCAAACTTCTTGAGTACCTTTTCTTTTTTCTTCTAACCATGCCTCTTGCGTATGAAAGGAGGGAAAATAAGAAAGAGCACATGTCCAGGATGAGACAGAACACAGCCATTCTGGTGTGCCATCTGGTGTCAGTCTTACGCCAAAAAACTTCCCTGAGAAGTTGAAATACAAAACGGACTTTACACCTCCTTTCCTTTTAGCTTTGATTTCAGTGATGAATATTGATAGAGGCACACCAGCCAAACAAAACACAGTAGTCAAACGTCTAATACATTCTCAGAGTTAACAGTTAAAATCCTTTCAATATATTTCTGGTTAATCAGAAAGGTCAAAAGTTGGAGGTGAAGCAACTTCAAATTGGGGGCGACGCAACCACACTTCGGGGCGAAGGGACTCAGGGAGACCGTGCGGCGTCATCTACATCCATAAATTTTCAAGTTATTAACTCAGTTAACTGTTCGCTAAGTGTACGACATAAAAAGCGGCAACCCTAGAGACGTTAATAACAGCCAGGAAAAATAGCAAGCAGTCAAATGGATGTCATTTTATCAAATGAAAGGAGCCACTCAGGTTTGGCTCGACGAACCCTTTTCGCTGGATAATGGTTTAACTATGATGAGCAACTTTTTCGCAGGATAATGGTTTAACTACGTTCTTGAACTTACCAGAATCTTAGAGCAGAAAGTAAGGTCCACGAGACTAAAATCAAAATGCCAAATCTGAAAAAAACAAAAGGATCAGTGCATGTTTAGCGTTAAGGTAATTACCCAGCTGAAAAGATGACACATCCAAAATAATGAAGAAAATCCCATAGAAATAGTTTACAAAAGTAACACCCTCAAAATGAATAAAGAGCCGTACAACTTTATAATATCTTCATCCCCTCCTGTTCTACTAAAATGTTCCTTCTTTTGTTTCAATTTTCAAAGTTGAGGCTGGAATGAGAAATTTTCCCCAGCCATAAATTTAATCTTCCCCCCTCAGTACATGTGTAAAAAGTTAAAATGTATCTGGCTTGCATCTGTTTTGCCACTCGTGATGCAGGCGCAACACTTACTTGAACAAATCAAATTCAATTCATATTACGTTTAAATAGTTATTAGGTTATCAGTATTCATATTCCTGGCTGGAGGTTGGGAGCAACTTATTTAGCCCCAGGCCTACGTGCAGCATCGGACTAGTTGTTGACTAACATTTGTTTGACATGTGATCACTTTGCTTTGTTCATTCGTTCATTGCAGTTGTTTCTTCTCCCTCCCTTCCACTCTGGGGCTTTCCTCAGGCCCTCAGGTCTTCCTTGTTTCCTCAATAAAGATGCCCAAACAGATTCACTGCTTGTTTGTTCATTAACAGGGAATAATCAACTCTATTACAAGATAATCTGTTTTTCAAATACCTGCTCTTTTTTTTCAAAAATATGAGGAAATTCATCAGCAAGCAACACAACAAGATGTGCAAATACTTCCTCCTTGCTAAGCCTAGAAAATTTACATTGAATTAACTCTGGTGAAAAGTACACTGATTATAAACTGCATTTGGACTTAAAATATCAGTTTTGATTATTAAATATTTATTGATAACTCAGCATGGAATAAGAGGTATTATTGGCATAAGCCACAGACTGGCAGATTTATTCAAAAAACAAATCACTAATAAGACAAGATACATTATTAATTAGGTGGTTGTCTTTTAGGTGTGCATCATTTGTACCAATTTCTTTTGGGTGTTTTCCACCCCACCCTCTTTGCTTTTTCGTTAATCAGTGTTAATGGTTACCTAAAGTAGGGGGCTCACAGAAGTAACCCCTACATTCCTGAGGCACCTAGCTTCCATTTTTAGCAAGGCAGTGGTTTAACATGTATGAGAGACATGATGGCCAATGTGTTGTGTTTTCAGGCGAAAAACCCTACTTTCACAGTGCCTCTCTCTGCCCAGGAGTATAAATGGCACCTGTCAAACTGCTAGGGAAGCTCTGTGAATTGCGAAGGGGTTGGGGGTAACCTTGTGGACTGGCATCCCATCCAGAGGGGGTTGGTGATACTCCTGGTCACTTCATGCCAAGGAAACTAAATGGGCTCCAGCTGGTTGCCCATTTGGCTCATGTGTAGGCTTTACCTTACCTTATTTCTCATCTATGTTCATGCCTTGAGGGAGATATCTGAAACTGTCCCACACATTGCAATGGAACATGTATACACTAATTTCTATCAAGTAGGTTCAACTTGTAAAAGATTACTTACTACACAGACAGAGCATTAATTCTAAGCTTTTCTGCCATGAAGTCCTCACTGCTACTTGAAATAACTGAGTCAACAATAAACATGCTGATGCTGTTGTCATATTTTTGTGTGGAAAACTGGACCAAAAGTCTTGGTTAGCCACAAATGAGATGCTCCAATAGCTCAGGAATTCACCTCAAGAAAAAGGAAAAAATATTGACCAGTTTTACCCTTTTCACCCTAACATCCATACTGTTCTCTATACATTTCCTAAGGTTCTGACTGGGAGAATTTGTTGAACAATCAAAAGCTTGGTTTGTCAGTGATCATTTCCTTTATACTTGTGACCTTAATGTGTGATTCAGGGGTGATACTGTGAGGAAAAAAATACTGAGTCTAGTCACTAAGTGTTGAGAAAATGGTGATGATAAACAACAGTAAAATTTAGAATTTTTTAAAATTTTGCCATCACCAAAAGTTTTGGTCACATGGAAAGCCTTGAGGTAAATCATTATTCTCTTAGTGAAGAAGTTTTACAATCAGAGCCTTCTGTTCAGGTTTTATAAAAAATTTTCCACCACATTTGATAATATGATACAATACTAGTGATCAAAAGCAATTTCATGCCATTTTTTTTCTTCATTTTATTTTATTTAATTAAAGGATAAGAAAAATGAACTGAAACTGGTTTGGAAAAACTTTGAAACAAAGGAAACATTTGAACCACAACATTCTAACTGCACTTACCACAATTATTGTGGTTAGCATGTGGTGAATCTGAGAACACCAACAGCGCAGCAAGGAAAACACAAGTCAGCTTAGCTAACATGATGATAATGGATTCTGGTGAGTATATCTTAAAATGCTAAAAAAAAAAAAAAATGATTAAAACACTCAAAATTAGATCATCAGTCAACAGGATTAATGACTCTTATTCTTACTCTTCACCAATCTAGGCCACTCCATATGAGAGAAAAAAGTGCCTTAATGAGCATAGTTTTTTTCCCTATATGGGCCACCTGCCTGGTAAACAACACCTACTTTATTTTAAAAGTAGAAACTTAAACCTGTTACCTTTAATTTTGTTGGAGTTGATTTTGACTTTTGCAGATGAGTACCAAGTACAAATGTTTTCAGGTCCTTTTCTTGAAGGTTCAAGTGATGTTGAACAGTGTTGTGACAGGAATGACATAGTTTGTATCTCTTATCCAGGTGATTTTTATGAGCATCAAATTCCGAAAAGAAGTCTGACTGCAAAAAAATTTGTTGAATTAAGTATATTATGGTTGCTGAAGTTAAAAATGAACTTCAGGTCAAAATGTTTCAATCCTTCTTGAAAAATTGTATGTTTCCCTCTGTTCCATGATATAACATAGTAAAAAATCAAACTACCAGTAGTTTTAAATCATTTTGGCCTGAAATCAAAATGTACCAGTGTGAGAAAATTGGTTCCAGTGGTTAAAAGTTATGTGATTAACATTACCAAACACATGATGAAAGTTTATAAATAAAACTATCAGCTTTAAAGTATTTCAAACATGTATACACAGTCATGCAACTTCAAATTTTCTTTCCGTGAAAATGGAAATTGAACCCAGTAGTGTACTTAAGAATGTATACACAACTGTGTGCTGTCCAATATATTGTATACAGGCATGATGCTCAAACAGTCCTATTATACAGTCCTATAAAAAGCATCACCTGTACACTGAAAACCAATCTTGATCATGACTAAAATTTGTCATGATTTTGACAAAACATCCCAATGTCTATGAATAGTGTTAATGGGTAGGAAGCTTTCACCTCTCTTGATGGTTCAAATGAATTCAATTCCTGGATTTTTGTAGCTTGATTTTTGTTACAATTATGACAAAGCTGTGGTTGGGTGACGAGTGATGGCTGACCAGTGTACCTCCCTAAAATAATCATACAAAGTTATCATTATCAGATACACCAAGATCAAAATTTGAAGAAAACATGAAGAATTATTAACTGAAGTGGAGAAAAATACCACCCTCTACAGAAACTGAGGCGATCAATTGTTGAAGTATTTACCACAGAAAAACCAACAAATTAGTTAATTTCTGTCATTATGCCAAGAAATGGTTGGAAATGAAATTCTTGACTTGCCATTTTATATATCCTTTCAGCTGCTCAGAAATGAATAGTACCAGCTAGTCACTTCCAAATTAGCCAATAAGCACATGCAAAAAGCACTATTCTCCCATCTGGTATGTACTGATAAGCATTATCCAACAGAGTTCTAAGAGGAAAATATTATTTTTGGATAAATCAACAAGAATACCAACCTGGAGCTGCATAGTGATAGTGTGTACTATCATTTTCTCCCACACAGTCTACCATGTTACAATTTTTCCAGATAGTAATATTCTGCCTAGATCAGTTACAACCTGGGAAATACACATTTTAAGTGTTTAATGCAATTAACCCTTTAACTCCCAGATCAAATCTGTTATTCTCCTAACTGACCACCATACAAATTTTGTAATGTTAGTTCAGAGAATTTAGTACTCGATCAACTAATTATCATCAAATTTTTCTTTATTCTCATCACTTGTCTATTGATATTGTATGGAGAAATTCTGTCTTGGTCACTTGTAGGAGTTAAAGGGTTACGAAACGTTTTACAGGAGAAAATCTTAAATCTTTTTATTACTTTTTATTAAAGATCAATTTTCGGCCGATGAGAATTAAATTTTTCCTAAGGAAGCCCTTGGACTTACCTGATAGAAAAACAAATGGTTGACAAAAAAATAAGAAAATGGATACATGGATTAGAAAAAAATCAGATTGATTACAAACAATTGAATACGGTTTAGTCACTTACTACAATCGTTATTTTCAGGTTATGACAAACTTCCAAGCTCATTCTGCATCAATTCATAACAATTTTCAACTATGGATATATATTTTTTGATTGAGGGATGGTCAACCAACATCATAAGATTAAATAAGTTAGATTTGGACGGAAGTAGCCGAGAGTAAAGTTTTGCTCTTTCAGCTTCCAGTGTTTTTTTTCCTTTTTTATCACGAGGTTGATTGAAATCTCGTAAATGCAAACTTGTCGTTAATTTTACCAAACACGCTTACATATCAAGGCTCAGGAGGCAAATAACCTCAAAACAAACCTTACCTCGTGCAATGAGGACAACTATAAAATATATTTTCGAAACAACTTTATGGGAAGTTAAACGGGCCACGAGTCATATCTCCCGCCATATTGAAACGGTCGTAGGGAATGCTGGGAGTCTCGATGTCACCATTTACCCGGGATATCCCAGAAGTACGGGCGGTCGCATTAGTTCCCAGCTAATCATGCGCTTTCGATTTCAGAACACAAACATGTCTGCTAGTTGTTTAGCTTTATGAGTTCTAAAGTTTGGACGCCGAATTTGCGAAAGCTTTTTAATTTTTGCACGAATTTGAGTTCAGGTATTCTTGAGAAGTTCTCAATGTGGGTATACGCGACAATGGATTGTTTAAAGGGGATTTACAATGGTATAGGAATTCGATTTTTTATGATGGCTCTCATAAGGATTTGGACCCTAATAATGTACGTTTTGCGACGAAACTTAAAGAAGGTAAGCTGGTGTACTTAAGGTGTGCATGATTTCACCAAGTGTCGAGAAATTCGATCTTATTTGTTTGCTTTAACATAACAAACGTTTATGCACGCAATTCAAGCTTACCATGGCACGCGGCTGTAATATCAGTAGATCGTGTGTGCGCCAATATAAGATTTTAGATCAATGGAGTTGCTCACATTTTCCTTAATGAAATATTGAATTTGACCAGACATAATTTATAGCCAGCCTCTGATTAAGTATTGACTTAATGGTACTAGATTTGTTCCTTCCAAATATAATTTCGCGTGTTTGTTGTCGGATAAACAAGAGATTGTAATCCCTTTCACAATAAACTGTCATAAGACTACATCTATCGAAGCATGTCAACAGGAAAATGGAAGTGCTCATTATTTCTCACAATCAGGTTACTCGCTCTGATTTTCAGAGATATCAATGGGTTAGTTTTCTGTAAGGTTTTGTGAAAATGAAACTGTGGATTGAGATTAATTTCTTTAGATACAGTTGCATTTACATTATGCAAGAAAACGCGATTTATCCACCAGAAACGAAAGTTCGTCGTGATCAAACATTTTAAAATGGAATTTTGTTCGTTGAAAAGGTACTGCAAGTCGTTAGAGGTGAATTTAAAAACATGGTTATTATATACACCACATCACAAAGTTGTTTCATTATTTTTTTAATCACTCAGTGTAGTGCTGTGATACATATAAAAATATTCTTTACATTGTTATGGTAACCTCTGCTGCTGAAAAGACTGTTACCATCCTCTGTTGCTACCTTTGCAACACCTACAGTATCTTCCAAACAGTATTAATGAGTTGTAACTACTGCTTGGGTCTCGTTCATGGCAGAAGTTTGCATGTTTTTCACTTCTAACAGCAAATCAAGAACTGTTTTGAATAAAGCTTTTGACTCAAAATATTTCTCTTTCATTTCCATTTTATTTTTTACCCATAATTTATATTCCAGGTAACATGAGATCTCTTCAAACACCAGAAGTATATGCATGTTCACTTGAAATCTAGTGTGCAAGCAGGTCTGCATGCATGTGAAAATCTTGATTTCTGAGTAAAACTTAATGTGCACCTGTCATTTTTTCCTTGAGGATAAGTTATTTAAATGGCCATCTTTTATTGGAACTAGCTGTGGGAAAAGATGATTCATAACATTTTTGTGTGCATTGTGTTTGCTTTTTCTATTTTTGCTAAACTATGTGTAGCCACACAAAACACCCAGATGACAATGTGGTATTTAAGTTTACATATATACTTCTTCTTATTCTGCAGGTTATTCAACACAAGACTGTTAAATATCAATTGCTTCCTCTGTCACCCATATCAATTGAAAGATTAAGTAAGTACTCTACATGTACATGTACCTGTTAATACAAATAGGGTTCTTGTCATCAGGGTTGTAATAAGAACCATTTCTAGCCAAGCTGCTATAGTTCTCATCAACACTTCTGTAGCATAGGTAGATATAAAATACCAGACTGTTCTCACAAGAGATGGGCATTGTGTTATGTGTTCATGTTATACATGTATTCTATTCAACCGAAAAGTGAAAAAATAAGCAAACTTTTGAGATTGGGAAGATAATGGCTTTATTTCACCAAAAAAAAAAGATTGCTTTTTAGTATAGGGAAAAAGGGATAAGCTCTGGATCTGAATGGAAATTAGCTATATAGATTTCAATTCAGTGTTGAAAGCAATCCTGGATAATGCTTTGCTTTTGCTTTACATGTGCCACTCTCTCAACCAATCGGATACATAACTAAAACCAATCACTTGGTCGCTTGTGTTTTCCCTCACTGTAGGCAGCCTGGTTGTCTTTACTTTAAGTTTTCATTGTCTCCTAAAGATACTTTCCTTTCTTTTTGATTGGCTGCTGTGATTACTTTGGTTTTAGGTTTACAACACTCAATCAAAAAGCACTCTACAATTGATAAGCTACATCTAAAATTATGTCCATCTGAGGGAGAACTTGGAAAATGCTGACTTCTAATGCAGGCATTTATTGTGAATGTGAACTTGGGTGTTACTACTTTATTTGTTTTAATTGCAATGTACTTGTGTTTGTATGATAACCAGTGCCTGGCTATACAGAAAGTTGTTTAACATTGTAAAACTGTATTTACAGGACTAGTGAAAAGAAAGACGTTAGTGCTTGACCTTGATGAAACTCTCATTCATTCACATCATGATGGGTATGAAATGCCACTATACATTTCAATATCCTAAATTGCATAATGAATTGCTCAAGTGTGGTGTCAAACTCTGTAGCTGTTTGTAAAAATGTTTTTTCCAACTACAGTGTATATACATTGTTAAGATATACCATGCAAGTGAATATTACTTTTTGCATGCACTGATTGGACAGTTTAGAAGTGAAGACCAAGTACTATTCACCTCCAAGAAGCTGCTGAGAAAACATTGCACAAATAGCGAATAATTATTTACCTTGTGGCTTTGTGCCTTGTCATCAAGGAAAACGTACCAATTTTGAGTTAGGCTCTGTGGTCCAATATAAAATTATGGTGTAAGTGGCAAATAATTATTTACCTTGTAGCTTTGCGGCTTAGAAAATATCCACTACTATATACTACCACTTTGGTAAATAATTGTTTATTATGGCTTGTTTATTAATAATTAATTTTAACTATTTTTCAGTGTTGTACGACAGACTGTGAGACCAGGGACACCTCCAGATTTTGTACTGCGGGTAAGTGTTGTATTTTGTTTATCTCCAGACTTTATGAAGGATTTCCCTCAGGACATTCATGGATCCCCTTCCCAACTTAAATTACTATGCAAATGTGTACAGGCTAATACTACAATGTAAATATCATCTCTCTTTTTTGCTGTTTTTACAGGTTACAATTGACCATCACCCTATCAGATTTTTTGTTCACAAGAGACCTCATGTGGACTTCTTCCTTGAATGTGTAAGTATCTGAAACAGTGTTCTCCTTTTCAGACAGTAAATGGTGAAGTTTACCCCCTGTAATACCCCTCATTACTGTGTTAGATCACTTGGAATGCTTGAAAATTCAACCAGTGAAATGATTGCACTGTGGTTTAGTACCTTTGCTACTCGGCATAGGGGAGAACACTGCTCAAATGTGCATGTGATATGACAATATTATATACAACTTTCCTGGCCATTGTTTAGGTTGGCACTAGGGAAAGCCAATTTATTTGGGCAAGATGCAAAAAAAAAAATTCAGCCTGAGGGGAATGTCTTGGGGCACTCTGCAATACAAGATAATAAGAGTGGTTTGAAGAGTTTTTCACTAAAGAAACAGGGAGAAAATTGTTTCCATTTAATATCAAATTGGCAACTTTTCTTCCCCTGTACAAAACAATCCATTAATCTTATGCAGTGTGAAGTTTATTTTCTATGGAAACAGCTACTCAGTAACATACATTGTATCTATTCACTAGACCAAACACATTCAAAAATATGCAATTAATATGACCATTGTTCAGCAACTAATAATTATTCATGTACAGAATGTTTTTTCTCAAATGTTTTATATAACAATACTGAGGCATTATGACTTAAAATAGCTGTAAATGCAGCAACTCAGGCAATATTTCCTACTTATGTCAGAGTATGATCAGAAGAATATGTATAATTATGTGTATGGATGTTGATTCTTATTACAGGAGATTAACTTGAATTGTTATTTTGTTTACAGGTGAGTCAATGGTATGATCTTGTGATCTTTACTGCTAGTATGGAGGTGAGAGCTTATAAACCTGGTGCTGCTATATTTAACCCTTTCACTTCCAAAATCCAATTCATATTTCTCCTTGCTTTCTGCCATATAATTATTATGATGTTAGTTTAGAGAATCTGATATTCAATTAATTGATGATTCCTTTATGGTATTTTTCTTTATTTGCATCACATGTCTGCTTATGAATAACATATACAATCTTGTAAGGAGACATTCTGTCTTGGTCTCTTTTTGGAGTTAAAGGGTTCACTTTCACATGTGCATTGACCATTAGATGTGATCTGAAAATAGAACAAGCCTAATTCATACATGTGCTAATATGCTTATGTCTTAATGAAATTTAAAAGGTTTACCATATATTAGTTGGCAAGTAGATGATCCTAGTTTTTTCACTTTACTCTAATTTTTTTTGTATCTCTGGTAGATCTATGGAGCTGCAGTTGCAGATAACCTGGATAAAAACAGAGGGGTGCTAAATAGAAGATATTTCCGACAGGTAATAGTGTCTGCAAGTCGGAACATAATTTCAGGTCCTTCAAAACCCAGATTGTGGTCCTGTAATGGCTTGGTCTTTCCTGTAAAGTTAATTATCGTATGACCTGGTTGTACAGTCTAAGTTGTGGTTTTAGGCTTGGTGGGTCCTTGTATTGGGAGACACTATTCCACCACTGTTTCTTTATCCACAGTAGTTGGTAAAACTGGATAAGCTTCCAGGAGCCACCTTCAAATTACTTCATTTGAGCTATATTTCCCGGTGCTCTTTGTAATAAAACTGAGATAAGCTCTTGTCTTGTGAGGTAAGCTCTGTGGTCCAACATAAAATTATGGGAAGCAATGGTGCACCTTGCAGTTCTGGGGAATGACCAGATGTTTAATAGTTCACTTTTCTGTAGCTGTTTACTTGCTTTTTCTTCACTCAAATTGTCTTTTCAAATTTTTTTTGTAGCATTGTACTTTAGATTGTGGTAGTTATACTAAAGATTTATCAATGGTCAATGAGGACCTCTCTTCAGTTTTTATTTTGGACAACTCACCTGGTGCTTATCGATACAATCCAGGTATTTATTAAGTTATTTGATTTATGTTCTACTCATCGTGGGTTTGTATTTGTGACATTTACAGGGATAAGAGCAGAGTAATTTTAATGTGGATTTGGTTTACTGTTTCCCATAGTTTCTAATAAACTCT